CAACCATTTAGTGTCCAAATTCAATGAAGATAATGAACCTGAAGGAAACCTTCACTGCAAGAAGCACCAAATTTTTCGGTTTCATAGTTGAAGCGGAGTTGATTTTGTCCGGGGCGAGGGTAGGAGGGCAGAAGAACAAGCTCACATGACTTGGCTGTGGCAGGAGATCTTGCAGATCTCCGACACGGAAATGTCGTTGAACCTGGAAGATTTGGCGCAACAAGCCCCCTGACGCACAACAGCCCATGGTCCTTGAGAAGTTCATCCTAAACTCATTCCATAGAAAAAAGGAGAATCCTTCGAACCTGTTCCGTTGGCACAAAGACTCATTTGCCATTGTCTTTCGGTAAAGGTCTAACTAACACCTGCCAAAAGGTAGGATTTGGAACATGTATATCTCCAGTATGACTCTGATTGTTTGCACGAACCCTGCGGCTGAACAATGAGATGCGATGCTAGTCTTTAGTTTGTCATTAGTTTGTCTCTTTTTTCCGGTTTGGGCTTCTTTTACATGTTTTCATGTATGATGGCTTTCGGTTTCTTGGCTTTGTGGCTTTGGGCTAGCTTTTTGTGGTATGTACCTTCTTTGCTTTTAAGACATTTGGTTTCTTGGCTTTTGTTCCTTTTGATTCCTGGTTCTTGCAGATTTTGTGGTTTCTGGCGTTCTGATGTTTTCAGTTTCTTTTGCCGCTTGGATTTATAGTTTTTTGGTGTTGTTGGCTTTTGCAGTTTCAAGTGGCAACATTTAAAAACAACAACAACAACAACAACAACAACAACAACAACAACAACAACAACACCAACACCAACACCAACAACCAACAACCAACAACCAACAACCAACAACCAACAACCAACAACCAACCACCACCACCACCACCACCACTACCACCACCACCACAACCACAACCACAACCACAACCACAACGACAACGACAACGACAACGACAAGAACAAGAACAAGAACAAGAACAAGAACAACAACGACGACAAGAACAAGAATAAGAATCATGCTCTCTCGATCTCTGTATATAGTTTGGCCCATCCTCATTTGTTGTTCCAAGCGTGTTTAGAATACCATTCTTAACCCTTTGTGTTTGCTAATATCTCCGCATTTCTGTTGCCCAATCCGAAAACTATATCCATTTGTTAAATCGCCATGTTGATAGGTTCAATCGCCATGACAATTCACCACCCAAAAAATGTTTGCATTAGCTACAGAGACTGTAGCTATAGATGTATCATATCTCTATACATATATATATATACATGTATATATATATGTGTGTATATGTATATCCAAATTTGTATATATATATATTTAAGGACATTATTCCATACATCCAATAATTGATTATAAACCCATCTGTATACCATCAAATCTCACCATTTCTTGTTGGTGAAATCCCATTAATTTTCTGTACATCATTATACATATGTACTGGTTTTCTGGCACCATGAAACCCACACAAACCTTATGAGTTATAAAACTGTTATAAAACAACTGAGCTATCTCCACATTGGCTATACACATATATAGATATACCATGATATATCATATATCATGGTATATCTCCTGTAGACCATAGTGAGTTGTAAAGTTACAACCCATATTAAACCATAGATCATTAATGTGTATGATATGTATATATATATACATACGTATGCGTATATGTATATAGTTATATATAGGGATGATTTTATATTATAAAAAAACATAGTGAATTTAAACAACAGTTAATAGTCACATCATCCAAATTTGGTCAACATATATCAAGTATTATCAAGTTATATCAGCTATAAACATATAAAAAACCAATATTTTCCATCCACCAGTAGGTTTTCCTTAGGAAAACACCCACCTGGTGCCCTGCATCCCCTGGAGCCCCAGGTCTCCGGCCGCTCCCGGTGCGGCCTCCGCGCCACTCATCTGACGGAGCCGCTGCGTGAGCTGCGCGTGGCGCGGCCGGCCGTGTCCGCGGGCGTTTCCGTGGGCGTTTCCAGGGCGGAGACAGAGCCAGGTGGGATTTGGATGGAAAAATGGTGGAAACAAAGGAACATTTCAATGGAACTGGATGGAACTGGATGGAACTGGTAGTATAAATAGGTGATATTTTGGATCTGATCGAGTTTTTGGCAGAGTGCGAAGGCTGGTGCTGTTTCGAATCCTAAATCTCATCCACCCATCTCCACAGGTTGGCTGGTGGTTAGACAGATCACTTTTTTGATGCCAAATTTTGTGGGAAGAGTGCTCGGATTGTGGATGATTGTGGTCCCATCCCGGGCTGTGTTTGATTTTGACCTAATGTTTGACCGTTACTTGTACGTATGTTTCACGTGTGGTCGAACGCATTGAATAATAATTATTGAATATGAGTAGACAATAGCACATAATCCTCCAGATTGGCACGGTGGTTGAGTGGGGCAGGCTCTGGGATTGGCGCTCGGAGTTCTTCGTTTTGACCATGAAGTTTGTAAAAAAAATGGCATGTGCATTTTTCTAATCAACCTGTATGTGACAGATTTCTTGTACACCCAATTTTTAAACAAAGAACCTGTGGTTTGGCCAACCCTGGACCTCTGGCTTCGGGCAGCCTTCATACACCAGCCCATGCCCAGTTGGTGTGCCAATCTGGCTACGGTCCTTAAGTGGCACGACCTTGGGTCCCTACAACACTGCCAGCATCAGGACAGTGGCACAGTTGAAGCCCCTGGGTCGAAGGATTGCCCGGGTGTTTTACCCTCTCAAATCCACATGAACATGTGTCCTTTAGAAAAAAATGGTGTCCTTCAGAATTGATTCCCTCAACATCCTTAAAACATTTAAAACCAACGTAATGATGCATCATTGCCCATTTTTTTTTCATCATGTTTCATCATGCATCACTTTAAAAAAAATGAGGACATGATTGAAGTGTTTGTTCCGTCATGTTTCATCGTTTTCATATACACTCCGGTAATCAGGGGTGGCAATGGAAAACTCGACTAAAAATGGATGATTTCTAGCAGCTAGCTGGGAAATTCCTTCATGTTCCATCATGTTCCATCATTTTATTCACGATCTAGTTATGGCCATTTGGCCATTTACTAATTATAACTGGTTAATTATTTCGATATATTTCGATGGGATTATACACATTCTATAACCCATAGGATCCATGTATGCTATATATGGTAAGATTTACCATCAATATACCCCCAATGTTACCATATATAACATGGATTCTATTGGTAAATGGGGTAAAAAAATACTTATAACCATCATTTTCCCATGAATTTCCCATAAAAAGACGCCCAGGTCCAAGGTCTTGAAAGACGCACATTTCCCCGTGGCGCAGCAAGAAATCGCCCAAGGTGATCGACTGCTGCCAGATGCCACGGTGCTCGTGGAAATCGCTGCAGGAGCCTCCGGCTCCAAGGGTCTATAGGAATGTAATGGGATTAATATGGTTAAGTTAATATGGTTCATATACTATTAATAATGGTTAATATTAATGGTTATTATATGGTTAATGATGGTTAATAACCTGGTTGGTGATGGTTATATTTGCGTGTTTTCGATAATGTCAACCCTGGATTAATAAACCTCTAGATTGTTTAATTGGGAGGGTGCCATTTAAGTATTAGAGTATGACTATTGGAGGAGTACCCCCCCAATTAATAAACAATGGTTTATTAATCCGGGGTTGACATTATCATCCACTTACTGTATCTGGTTGGTGGTTTGGAACATGAATCTTATGACTTTCCATATATTGGGACTTATTGGGAACACTAATCTCATTTGACCTTCATATTTTTTCAGAGGGGTAGGTATACCACCAACCAGTAATGGGATTATAATCAACTTACCCTCTGGTAAACTAACATAACTATGGAAAGATCCACCATTTTGTAGCTGGGAAAATCCACTATAAATGGCAATTTTCAATAGCTATGTTAGTTTACCAGAGGGTACTGTATATAATGGGATTGTAATTTACCAACCAGACAATGGTGATTTAGTGGAGGTTTACCACCTGATAATTTTATGGTGTTTAATGAAATTTTAATGGAATGTGATGGGATTATAACCCACTTAATGGGACATACCCTTTGGTAAACTAACATAACTATGGAAAATCACATTGTTTCATGGGTAAACCCACTATAAATGGCAATTTTCAATAGCTGGTTAGTTTAGCAGAGGGTACTGTATATAATGGGATTGTAATTTTCCAGCCAGAAAATTGTGATTTAATGGAGAACCACTATAAATGGTGATTTAGTGGGGATTTACCATCTAATAATTTTATGGGGTTTAATGGAATTTCAATGGAATGTAACGGGATTATAATCAACTTAATGGGATATACCCTTTGGTAATTTAACATAGCTATTTAAAATTTCAATTTCTAATGGGTAAATCAGCTATTTTTATGGGTCATTTTCAATAGTTATGTTAGTTTGCCAGGGGGTAACATAGCTATGAAACCCATGGCTCTTTTATGGATGAATTGTAGATGATTGGCATGATGATTTAAATTTACATACCAGACGGATCCAGAGGGTAACACCCAAAGAAGATGCAGTTTTTGCGATCTATCACTACAGTCTCTCTCTCTCTCTCTATCTCTTTTTTTGTCTATAAATTATATATAATATCAATATAATATCACATGTTATCACTACATAAATACGTATTTTTCGTAGGATCTTGCTGTTCTAATTTGATTTCGGGCTTTGCGGGTCGCGGGTGAGCGACTTTTCCCTGGCGCACCTGAGATTCCTTCCATTGCGACAGCACCATGATCACCATGTCACCGGTCACTGCCATATGCTCCATGTATGGAAGATTTACCAACATGACTACCCCATAAATGACCCAGTCATGTAGGTTTCTATATACCAGCACCATGGGTTGCATATGAGACTGCCTGTCCAAGTCCAAATCATTGGTTCGCGGTCGATCACAAAACTACCAGCTCCAACCATCAGGGTTCACCGATCCTGCGGTCTCCTCTTTGGTTTTGGACCCAATCCAAAGCACCAAGATCTATGGATTAGCCTTTGGTAATCATGTAATCAAACATACTTTGCTGGCAAATTCACCATCTATATATCATTTATTCATATTTATTCAAGTCTGGTTGGTGGTTTGGAATATGAAGTTTATGACTTTTCCCATCATATTGGGAATGTCATCATCCCAATTGACGAACTCCATCAATTTTTTCAGAGGGGTAGGCTCAACCACCAACCAGTGGTGGGAAGTCACAGCCATCTTTGATTGAGGGGGTTTGGGAGGCCTGATGGAGATCGACTTGCAGCTGCTTTTGCTGAGCCCCTGGCTGAACAACTAATGATGGTTCGTAGGAGGTAAGTATTCCAAAAATTCCCTTCAGGTTAAATAATGAGTTATACACACATATATATATAGTTATACATCTGGAACAATGTTTGGCAGGTCAGCCTTGTTTGGGATCAGGTGCATTGAAGCTAAGGGTTGTCAGAGATCCAATTTGACACTCTGAACAGAGGAAACGCATCAGTTTGGGAACTCCCGGTCCCGGTGATTGAATGTTGTTCAACATTCCACGTTCATGAGGCAGATGACACCATGAAGTTTATAGGACACACACCCAAGGTCCAACTGAAGCATGGGAGGTGCAACGGGGTTTACCACAGACCCAACCGTGAGATGGTTGGTATTTTCTACCAGCCAAGCTGGGTCCCACCAGCGAAGTTTTTTGGGGATATCTACCGGAAAAGTCCTACAAACCAACTTATAACTGGGGCGGCACCGCCCTGAACATATCTTTGTTACCCCGAAAAGATTCGGATGATCATTGATGATCATCTCAAAGACAACGATTTTCGCAGTTCGATGGCTAGTTGACATGGTGTTTTCGTTTCGATCAATATCCAACGAGCATTCCTCTAACCCCCAAAAAGTGATGTGCGGCCCAGCCAGCATCCAACTTCTGAACCCCTAAGTTTGCTCATTTGCATCACACGTCCCATTTTACTATTTTTACTTTCATAGTTTGGGGATGGGTGGCTCAACAGCCATTTTCCTTAATATGTTTGAGGTGGTGATCAGCCTAATGATCAAAACCTAAATGAATGGATGGACAAGGCTTGTAGGATTGAGCCACTGGTTCACATGTGATACCCTCTGGTAATTTAACATAACTATGGAAATCACCATAGAAATAGTGAATTTTCCCATTAAAAATTGTGTTTTTCCATAGTTATGTCAGTTTACCAGAGGGTATCATTTTTTTTACCACCTTTTACCTTAACAATCATTTTTCGATCATTGTTGAGGCTCATTGAACATGTTAGCTGCAACCAAAAAAACGTGTGCCCGTGCCGATCCCTCATATCCTTTGACATGCTCAAATCTCTGCGTAGAGCTAGCTTTCTTTACATGTTCGAAACCAATAAACCCTAAAGCCATGAATTCCTAAACCCTAAAACCCTAAACCCTAAAACCCATTAAACCCCTAAACCTAAAGTCACAGTCGCTGCGTATAGCCAGTGTTTTCTTTAATCCTCCTTTGACAAGTATATGATATTTTCTGAATTGTTTTTTTGGATATAGGCGAACATGTTTGATCAGGTTGTCCTTCACGGGTTTGTCTGAAAATGTTTCATGCCCACATAATTCATTGATCAATCATCCTTTTCCTATTGAAATTGTTAGTTAGGGGCATACCCTAATTGCCAAAAAACATCATACAAATTACGGTACCGATACCATCTTAGTGGCTGCTATCTCCAATATATACCCACTATTGGCAATTAGCTAATCTCCATTGATTGGATAAAACACAATTTTCACTCACACCCGAAGTTCCACATGGTCGCTAAGTGAAATATGATAATATGCAACCGTGTATAATATACACATATACAAGTACCCGTTATGGATAGCCCAATTCTTTGTTTATATGACTGACTGGTTTGGTGGTTTGGGACATTTTTTTATTTTTCCTGTTGGGAATTTCATCATCCCAACTGACGAACTCATATTTTTCAGAGGGGTAGGTATACCACCAACCAGATGATGCTACATGTCCCCATATGAATGGTCAGGACTTGGATTCTATATGATGGCTGGTCATCAAGCCATAGGGATTCCCATCAGATCCCATTAGAAATTTATAAATAGCTTCTATGAAAATCCCAAGAACCTACTATGTCTCAAGTTATATGACCCCCCAAGTTCTTGGTTTGTGTTTGCCACATTTATTTCTTGTTTGCCACAGTTTCACAGTTGGTTTACCCTTTAAAAAATCATCAACTTGACATTGTTGATGGTTAAATCCCATGAAATCACCATTTTTGCAGGTTAAATCCCATGAAATCACCATTTTTGCAGGTTAAATCCCATGAAATCACCATTTTTGCAGGTTAAATCCCATGAAATCACCATTTTTGCAGGTTAAATCCCATGAAATCACCATGTTTTGCAGGTTAAATCCCATGAAATCACCATTTTTGCAGGTTAAATCCCATGAAATCACCATTTTTGCAGGTTAAATCCCATGAAATCACCATTTTTGCAGGTTAAATCCCATGAAATCACCATTTTTGCAGGTTAAATCCCATGAAATCACCATTTTTGCAGGTTAAATCCCATGAAATCACCATTTTTGCAGGTTAAATCCCATGAAATCACCATTTTTGCAGGTTAAATCCCATGAAATCACCATTTTTGCAGGTTAAATCCCATGAAATCACCATTTTTTAAGGAAATCACCATTTTTGCAGGTTAAATCACCATGAAATCACCATTTTTGCAGGTTAAATCCCATGAAATCACCATTTTTGCAGGTTAAATCCCATGAAATCACCATTTTTGCAGGTTAAATCCCATGAAATCACCATTTTTGCAGGTTAAATCCCATGAAATCACCATTTTTTAAATCCCATGGTTCCCATGAAATCACCATTTTTGCAAATCACCCATTTTTTGCAGGTTAAATCCCATGAAATCACCATTTTTGCAGGTTAAATCCCATGAAATCACCATTTTTGCAGGTTAAATCCCATGAAATCACAATTTTTGCAGGTTAAATCCCATGAAATCACCATTTTTGCAGGTTAAATCCCCCTGACATCGCTACTTGTGGCACCGTACGGCCCCCGCGCCCAGGTCCCAGCCCTTGCCGCGTGGCGCTGCGCTTTCGCCCGCGGCGGCGGGAGGCGGAGGCAGCGCCGGTGTGGCGAGCGGAGACGCAGCAGGCGGCTTTGGGGTGGATTCTGGTGGATATACCCTCTGGTAATTTAACGTAGCTATTGAAAATGACCATTAATAGTGGATTTTCCCATTGAAAATGGTGATTTTCCATAGTTATGTTACTTTACCAGAGGGTATTGGTTATTACTAGTATTGGTTATCAATGGTTTTTAATGGTTAATGATTGTTAATGATGGTAATTAATTGTCATTAATGGTGAATAATGGTTATTAATGGTTTTTAATGTATAATGATTGTTAATGATGGTTATTATTATTAATTGTCATTAATGGTGAATAATGGTTTTTAATGGTTAATGTTGGCGATGGTTATGAATGGTTATTAATGGTGAATAATGGTGAATAATGGTGAATGATGGTTAATGATTGTTAATGATTGTTAATGATGGTAATTCACGATTAAAATGGTTAATGATGGTTAGTGATGGTTAATGATGGTTAGTGATGGTTAGTGATGGTTAATATATGGCTTATTTTCATGATGATTAATGGCGATAAAAATGGGATTAGTTTGGGTTACAATCATGGTTAATGTCGAGTAATGGGCTATTAATGGGCTATTAATGGTTAATTATTCAGGATGACTAATGTGGGAAAACAACACCATAAACCACCCCATGACTGGGTGACCGGGAATGGTAAACATAGCACCTATCAAAATGGTGGTGACTGGGGGATGGTTTATGATTGTTTTACTTACATTAAATTGTTTGGAATCTTAGACTTAGATTTGCATGAATGTGAAGATTGGAGAAGACTGGAGAATTGAGATGTGGTGAGGCAATATTTTAAATGGGTTTGAACATGGTGATGCCAGTTTTTTTTTTTTTTCCGATGTGTGTGTTACTACAAACTATGTGTGAGGGGATGACTATAACCCACCCTGGGAGAGCCTATAGACAATCCAGTGGTGAATGGAGGGAGTGGTCGAGCTATGACTGTATCTGGAAAACTGGGAAGCGCAAGGAGCACCAAAAATATCCCAACCACGTAGCCATATGATAGTTTTAAGATGTTTTAATCATTTAAGAAGTGAGGTTTTGAGGGGATAGGTTTGGGAGATCTTTTTCTTTTGGTGCTGATTGCAGTGCTGGAATTGGGTATGTGTTTTGTTTTGTTACCCTCTGGTTATTTAACATAACCATGGAAAATGGTTCATTTAGTTCGATGGTTTACCTATTAAAAATGGTGGATTTTTCCATGGCTATGTTTGTCATAACCAGAAAGTAACTGTTGCATCAAGCCCTGTGGCGTTCTGGCATTAAACATGACTTAAAACAGAAAACAGCTGGCGGCAGTGCTGTCTGAATTCTGTCCCGACCTCACTGCACCATGGATATCCATGGATTATGGTATACGACCTCACTGCACCATGGATGGTTAGTATGGGGAAGAATCCCCAAAGAAGCCTTGTTTCAGGTTGCTGCATTACTAACTCAGCCAGAGTCATTTTACTTGTATTATGTGCCCATTCTATTCAAATTATATGTCCAGATATGTCCAGTATATCCAACTACCATCCGGTAATCAAACATAGCAATGGAGGAATCATCCGTTTGTAGATGATTGTTCCCCAGTTGTGCACCTCCATTTATGGGGGATTTTCCAGCCACTGGTGTGTCGCTAGGCGAAGGTCGTGTTAATCGAGGGAGCCTGGCATGTCAGGACGATGGCCATGGATCAGTTGCAGAGGAAGAAACATGTGGAAATTTTGGGAAAATAAGGCAACTGATATCGTTTTTCTCATGTTATGTCATGTTATGTTATGTTGTGTTGCTATGCTATGTTATGTTATGTTTTGTTACGTTGTTTTGTCATGTTTTGTTATGATATGATATAGTATGATACATCTATATAACCCTTTTTCGAGTATCCCATTCATGGATTCGAACATTGGATAACATAGGAATGTCATGAAGAAATTATGAGGATTAAACCGACCAGTGGGAATGTTTTTTTTGGGTGGAACAAGGGTATGGTGGGCACACTGGACTTGATAACGAACAATATGATACGATACAACCTAAGTATGGCTGAACATTATATATATAATATATACCCATTTTGAGTGCCCCATCTTGCATGACCATGGCCATGTCATGATTATGATTATCATAGATTCCATAGATAATCATCATAGAGATTTTTCGTGCCAATCTGTTTTGACTCTTGGATCTTCTGGTTATACATGGAGGGTCATCCCAGGGTACCCAGCCTAGTAATCGCTAGTTCTCTGGGGTTATCCCATACATAACTAGCGCACACCAAGGCCTACCCAGGATGTAGGTCCAGGTGTGGGAAAATCAGCATTTGTTTCATCCATTTTTATGGATGATTTTTCATAGCTATCTCCATCAATGGGTGATTTTTCATGGCTACCTTTGATTTCCGCAGGGCAAACCATTTAACTCAACTAACCATGGCCCAAGCAGATGTCCTGCCAAAATCACCGAAAAAAATGGGCCCCCATGTCGCAGGAAAGAGGCAACAAAGGAGCACTTCTTTGATGCCGTCTTTGATGAAGCGGCTTCCGGTTTCATGGCGTAACGCCGGCGTAGCGGATCCCAAGATATCCCAAAGGTGGTCCTGGAGATTCGGATTCACAACTTTCCTGGAGAAACCTGGTGGTTAAAAAACGAACCCCTTATGGTGATTTTCCCATGGGTGGAACCACCTTTTTCCAACCAAAAACGCCATAGGATTTTTCCCCCAAAAAAATGTGATTTTCCATGGCTATGTCAAATAACCAGAGTGTAGATCCATCGAGGTGAAGATGTATATCATCACCTGGCGGCGGACTTGCCGCAGCGAGCACTTGAAGGTGTTGCTGAGTCGTCGGAGCGGTTTCGGATGTTCGGTGACGACAAAAGGGGCTGTCTTCGGGTCTCAACAATGGAGAGCTAAGGCTTAGAAAGCAGTGAGCACTTGATGGCGACAAAAAGTGCTAATGTCAACCCTGGATTAATAAACCCCAAGCGGTTGTTGAATTGGGTACCATGTAAGTATTAGATTTATCAGATTATGACTATTGAAGGAATAGCCACTAATGAATAAACCACGGTTTTAATTTATCCGGGGTTGACATTATTTTTATATCCATATGCAACCCATGGTGCTGGAATATGAATCCCAACATTTGCCCCCAAAAATCAACCAGTCAGACGTAGGTTTTTATATACCAGCACCATTTTTGGTTGCATATGGGATATGGATGGATATGGGATTGATGGTGACTCCAATGGTGACCTGTTTTTTTTTTGGGGAATGATTCCATGATGATCAGTGCTGGGGATCAAATTCGGGGATCCACGTCGTGAATGGCTGGGGGTTTTTGTCCATCCCACTACAGGTGATAGCCATTGAATCATGGGTTACCAAACCACCCCCAAGTCGAAGCACCCCCCAGGTGTGGGCTCGTTTTTTTTTCCTTATGAATTTCCTTATTTTTTTGAGGGATTCTGCCAAGCCCTCGGCTCAACTCCTACCCGTGGTAGGGCTGTTTTCGACTAGTGGTTGAGTGACTCGTTCAATTGGTGGAGCCATGGACGACTTGCTCCAATCTCAACAGGAGATTTGGTCAGGTGTGGTGCGCGCTCTTAGCGCTGACTCCGTAAGGTGCCTAGCCCATGGACAGCAGGCTATGGTACTTGGCTTCGAATTCGAAGAGGGCCAGGTCTCCACGGTGTATGACATGAAGACGGTCTTTGATGAGATCAAGGGAACCTGGTGCCTCCAGAGGACACCGACTTCGCTCAAGGTGGATATCCCGGATGTGAAGGAGAAGAGCTGGCGCTGCGTGAAGGAGGTGTGTGCCGGCATGGGTGGCACTGCTCAGGGTCTTGAGGCCATTGGGTTCATGAAAGTGGCTGCCCTGGATAGTAATCCCCTGATGTGTGAAACCCTTCAACGGAATGGAACCCCGGGAGTTATTTTGGGGGATGTGTTGGTGGCCGCTGATAGAGGAGCCCTTCATCAGACACCAAGCCCTTTGCGATGCATGGTGGCCTCAGGGTTTCCTTGCCAACCCCTGTCTAGCCAAGGGGATATGAAAGGTCAGGATGATACTAGATCCCAACCCTTCTATGGCATGCTCAAAGCGGCTTGGGAACAGCAATGCAGTGCACTCCTTTTGGAGAATGTCAAGGGGGCCATGGACGCCACCTACATCCAGGAAGGCATTCAGAAGCTGGCTTGGAGCCTTGGCATGGACATCGTGCAGACCGTGCTGAACCTTGACAAGACTTGGCCGTGCCGCAGAACCAGATGGTGGGCCATCATCAAGCCGATGGAGTACAAGCTCTGTGGCCTCATTGACCTCCCTGAAGATCCTCTTCTCAAGACAGTGGGGCAGCTCATGCCCTTCTGGCCGCAATGGGACTGGGAGATTGAGGAGCACTTGCAGCTCACTGAGTATGAACTGGAGATCATGCAAGACCCTCGCTTTGGGAGAGACCTTCGACAGATCGCCCGGGATGACGTCGTGCCATGCTTCTTGCATAGCTACAGCACCTCGCTGACAGGATGCCCATGTGGATGCAGAAAGACCGGTTTCAGTCACTATCGATTGGTGAGGGACGGAGTCCGAGGATTTTACATCGTCAGCATGGTGACTGGTCGACATCGCTGGCTACATCCTTGTGAAGCAGCACTACTATGTGGTCTTGATCCTCAAATGAGGCTCCCAGATGAACTTCGAGCTGGCTTGTGCCTGGTAGGGCGGTGTGCATCACCCTTGCAGTCTGCCTGGGTTGGAGCGCACTATCTCGATGCGGTGCAGAACACATCCGGTACGCCACAGAAAGCTCTCATCCTCTACAAGATGTGGTTGCTTCGTCGAGCTCATGGCATGGTTCCAAAGAAAGCGCCAGTACCTCCGCGGCTGATAGATGGACAAGATGGATCAGAGCTGCTTTTGCAACTTGGAGGACCCACGAAGGTTGCTAACTTTCTGGCCGCTGAACATCGTCTTCAGGGTGGTGGCATTCTCTGGAGTCTAGCTGACCTGTATGGAAAGCTTCCACAGCACTATGACATCACCCAAGGAGCAGTAGTGGGATCTTTGGAATTGCAACATCGACCCAAGAGGCAGAGGAAAACCTTTGAGATGAAAAGCGTATTGGTGACAGTGGTAGTCAAGCAACTGGATGGCACCAAGGCCCAATACTCCATGGACGTGATGACGGGCACCTTTGTCTTTGAGGTGATGAGGAGTGTTCCTGGCTTGCACCACCTCTACTACAAGGGCATCTTTGACGATGAAGGAAATGAGTGGAGATTGGATGAAAGGATCCGGCAGAAGGTAACTTTCGTGCAATATCACCTACACCATGAAGTTTGTGCGTGGGGCCAACAGAGCTTGGGAGAAAAGGGGCTCGGCAATGAATGCATTGACAGATGTGCCAAACGAATGCTCTGCGAGATGAATCAGGCTGGCAAGAGCACTTGGGTTCCTTCCATTCAGTGTTCGTTATTGCTCATCTACACCAACGATGTCATGCTCAACCATTGGTTGGTGGCTGCTCTTCATGGTGTTCTTCGTGGGTGCGCAGTACTACATGGCCACTGGATTTATTTGGAAGTGAAAGTCACAGGCAACTTGCTGCAAGTGGCATGCTGGGACGGATTGGATCATCAAGCACGGCCGGTGATTCTTCAGTTTGCGGAGAAGGCTCGTAGGATCTTGGTGGTCCGAACCCTGGCTGTCTCCTTCCATGCGGAGTATTCACAGCAGAACCCTCATACCTGTGGCACTGTTGCACTCATGCATTTGGGACATGCCATTGGTTACTGGCAGAACCGCATGCTTCTGGAAGAGAATGAATGGCATGCTCTTCTGCAAATCGGCAATGACGGCAGCATCTATGGAGGGGGTCGACTTCAAGGAGATGACCAACTCGTTCTGGAGCTGCGCGACATCTTGCATCATCATGGAGTTCCATTGGAGAAGACAGAGGAGAGGGCCACTTTGGCCATTAAGAAGATCGGTGAGAGTGCTCTGGCAAAAGCGCTGTCCAGCCGCAATCCATGGGCAGCATTGAAAGCTCTGGGATCCCAACCGAAAGTCAATTTCCTGTGGGTCAAGCCAGATGAGTTGGAAAAGCAGATCAAATTCCGTGCCCATTCCAAGTACAAGGCGGCAGTGTCCGAGAAGAAGAAGGAAGGTAGCCAGGCCATGAGCAGTCGGGTCAACATGGACCCACGGGCCCTGGCTCTGAGGATGTTGGCCCCTTCTTGCGGGAGGACAAGTCCATCACTATGGATGCCCTGGCGATTCTCACAGTGGCTCCTGTACCACCCTCGAGCCAGGGATTGATGCCGGTCGTGAATCTTCGGTTCCCGGCGACTTACATCCCAACCAAAGAGATTGTGCTCATTGAGGGGTCATGGGTCCAGCTTGGGGACTGCTCTGTGATTCGCAAGCAAGAGACCAGTGTGGCGTCGGTGCAGTCCATTGACACCAAGACCTTCAAAGTTATGGTCTGGCGAGATGAGTGGCATGGAGCCTGGAAGGAGTTCATTGTCGCTCCGGTGCGTAAGCTCATTGAAACTATGCCACGGCTGCTGTTATGCAAAGGGGATAGATGTGGACCTGGATGCAAACGCTTCCATGCACCTGTCGACTGAGCTTGATCAGGTGGTGGTTGATTTGTGGAACAGAGGATGGTATGGAGCCAAAGGCAAACGCACCTCACCTGAGGACGCTGAACAGTTCCAAGTGTTCATGCGGATCCCATGCATCTGCACGGATGGCTTGCAGAATCGATCGGGCCAAGACGGAATCTATTTGGAGCCCAGGAAGGATGATGGCAAGGGGCCTGCAGATGACTTCTCGGTCATATGGTTGCCAGGGGCTGAGAAAGCTGAAGCCCTGCATCGATTGAAGGTCAGTGACAGAGGTGTTGCACTTGTTCGATTTGGATCCAGATTCGGAATCAGAGTGCTATGCCGTGATGCGGAAGTGGTGCACAAAGAGATCTACCCGGACAAACCATATCAACAGGTGAATGTCCAGTCCATCTACGAGCTCCGTCCTGTTCCGCATGGGGTCCAGACAGCTGGCATCAGAGAGCTGCTGAAGCAATGGGGTTGGAAGGCGAAGGTGCTGCAACCCTACAAGGCGGACCAACATGGACAGGGCTGGCTTGTTGGTGCTGAGACGCCACCTCCCATGAATGTCTTTCAGACCAGCAATGGAGATGTGTTGGTGACGATGCACAAGCGGCAGAACCTGGGAAAAGCTGAGCAAGTCGTTTTGGCCCCAACCAAGACCAAGACCTTCCTCAAGAATACTCCAAGTCGCTCCTCACGAGACATGGAGAAGGACAAGGAAAATATCTTGCCCTGGAGTGGAATGGATCCGTGGGGTGGGTACAACAAGTTTCCTGACGGTCTTGACCAAGATTCTCAGATGGGCAGAACGTCAAAGATGGAACGATTGCAATCCCAAGTCCATGAGGTGGTTGAGAGCAGCCTCAAGGATGCGACGGAGCAACGTTTCATGAAACTTGAGACGGGCATCACGGAGCTGCGGGAGCAGAACCAGAAATTTGAGACCTGGTTTGGTGAGGCGGGCCAAAGCACAGCAGCCCTGCGCCAGGATGTCAATGTGCTCACTAGCCAAGTGAGGGAGAACCAACAGAACATCAATACCCTGTCGGGAGAAATTCGCTCAGGATTTGCCAACCTTGAGTCTCTGCTGGCAAAGAAGCAGCGCCAAGAATGATGGTGCGCGCCCGGGCCCTGCCCTTCTTGCAGGGCGCCGGGTCACAGCAAAATTCGAATGTGGATTTTGATGCTGCTGAGCTTCTTTCTTCGAGGAGTGTATGCAGACACATCAGCCAATTATGTGGGGAGTGAGATGCGGCATGAGGGTGGCTACATCTCGCATGTTCCAGAGGTTGCGGGCATCTACAGAGCTGCAGATCTTAAGACTGGTTTCTCAGGAAAAGATCATGCAGCGGTGATCTCCCACAGCTTTACGGATCAGTTCCTGGAGTTTCTCCGACAACGTCAATTGGCCGTCGAGGCCGCCAATCAGATTGCAGCTGAAGGAGATGAAGATTCTGATGAGGATTGGGAAGAAGAGTTTTATGGGGATCGAACTGAAGGAGATGTCACAGTTCTTCATGATCGTGGAGGTGAACGGCAGTGGAGATTTTATCGTCCTGATCCATTCCAGACTGGTCGAAGCACCACAATGCAAGTCCATGTCCAAGCACACCATACATTGGAGGATGTGGAACTGCAGATTGTTCAGCACTGGGCTGATCTTCGTTTGCCGACGGCAAGATGGAGGCTATTGGTCATTCACGAGACGATCACCTCCTCAGTTTATCTTGAAGAAGGTCATGAGGCCTATATGGTTGAGGTGAACAATGACCTGCAAGTGGGTCAGGCTCCCATCATGTTTGAGTATCAGTACTGGGACTTGGCGCAGAATCGGTTCTATGGTATCCTAGAACCCAGAGTTCATTCCAGATTGATGAGAGGCATTTCACTGATGTTTCGAGATGTGAGAGGACACGAATGTCGCACAAGACCATGCTTTTCCAGTCTCAATGGCAGTCCTTTGGAGGCCTTTGAAGAGTACACAGTGCATGGTGGCGACTACATTGTGGTTAGTGGGATTAGCTCAGCCAGAGAAACAGTCCGGATCATTGGTCACTGGAGCCCATATGCTGAAGCTCGAGATGTTCCCCTTACTCTAGCCTTTGCTCGCATCATTGGGCAGAATATGCGGACTGATTTTGTCTCAGCGGAAAAAGGGCAAGCCAATGCAGTTCTTCTCCAGCGGAACATGGTGAAGGTCTATCATGATCTTCAAAGGGTCATGAATGTGGCGCAATTTCGCCAAGGAACTCTACTGATGATTGCGCCGGCAGATGGCTATGATCCGCTTGAAGTTCACCCAGTACGAATGAATGAGGTGCAATGGGGTGTGCGACGGAGCTTTGAATTTCCTCTTCTACTGGAAGCGTTGGTGGAATCTGACATGCTGGAGCACCATTGGGATGGGTACTTTGTGGAACCTCATCATACTATCTTTGTGCTCACATTGCCGGTCACGCTCAACCCTTTGGACCAAGTGATCATGATACGCCCACCTCATGATATTGTGCCTGAAGTAGCCATCCTTGCAGAATTTCGGGTTGAAGGCACGCCACAAGAACAAGACCGGTATGGGCACTTTGAGATGGTCATGGCCTTTGTCCGTTCACCATCCACCAAAGATGCACTCTTACGAGCGTTACATCTGGACCGTGACTGTAATGACTATGATTGCCTGGTCTCCCACAATGAACGAGTTCTGACGGTTAGTGACAGGCCATTGACAGTCGTGGATGGTGACATTGTGCGGGTATGGTTTGCTATTCCACCTCATCGAGAACAAGAAACAGTAGCCATGAACATTGTGACAGGGGATGAGGATGCAGCAGTCAATAGTGCACCGCACCCGACTCCATCCAGGGAAGGTCCTCAAGCGACTGGCCCTGTACCTCAATATCTTCCTGGCACATTGCATCATTGTCTTGTATGTTTTGGATGGGCTCTACTTCGAATCCAGAGATGCTTCAAGTGGAAACGACATCCAATCAGAGGAAGAGGACGCCAAGGGCATCGACATGGTCATTGCCAAGAAGCCCCACTTGCCAAGTCGGGTCGTGCCATTGGACGATGGTGTCTATTTCTCAATCTGTTCCTGCTAGCGGACACCTTTGTCGGCCAAAGCAAAGGATCTATCAGATTTGGAGAAGCTCAACACCCAGGGCCGAGCTTTTGGATTGGCACTGTCAACCCCTCGGGCATGGTGGGCAAGGAACGACAACTTGCTGAACTTCCTGAAGGAATCTGGGGCATTACGGAGACCCATTTGTCAGGGGTCAACCAAAAAGTGACCATCAGGAAGCTCCAACATGAAGCTCGTTCCCAAGGACGTGAACTGCAATGCGTTCCTGGGGCTCCCCTGCCGATTCGGGCCAGATCCTCTTCCGCCGGTACTTGGTCCGGGGTTATGACTGTGTCGGATTGGATCTCAAAACCAGTAACATGTGTGTGGCCTCATGGCGAATACAATGTTGGTAGAGTGCAAGTCGTGCAGAGTTCGTATGGACCTTTCAGTGTGCTTGGTGCCACTATGTATGGATGGCCCAAAAGTCCGACCTGGCCAAACGCCCTTCGGGACACGAATTTGTTGTTTGACTCATTGGTGAGTGAGATCGGCATGTCCAGAGGAGGGCCTCGCTACATTGTGGGCGACTTCAATCATGACCTTGATGCTCTTCGTGGGTGGGCCGTGCTGAGACATGCAGGGTGGAGAGATGCTCAAGAGCTGGCTCATGAGTGGTGGGGCCAAGAATTCAGTATGACCTATCGAAACTCGTCCATCACTGATCATGTCCTATTGTCTCCTGAGCTGGTCCCGCTGCTGACAGCTGTCAAATGCTGGAATTGGTTTGCGGACCATGCCGGATTGGGAATTTGTGTGGACATCCCCATTGTTAGGATGCAACAGCGTGCATGGCCACTTCCTGCAGAAGTTCCATGGGAAGCAGTTAGATATGAAGAGTGGCGACAAGCTGCACATATTCTTCCTGATACCCAGGCCTTTGGCCCTGATCATCGCGTGGCACAATGGGCTCGGGCCTACGAACTCAGCTTTGATGGCTACATGGACACCTCCATTGGCTCCCTGCCCTCCTCATGTCGGGGACGTTGTCAGCGATCTGAGCCTATTCTGCGAGTAGTGGACTGTCCGATGGTGAAGCCTTCCCGTCCAGGAGAAGTCCAAGTCAAAACCGACTTCATTGGAAGGGCAGTACTTCGATGGTTCCAACAGTTGCGAAGGCTGCAGAGCATGGTTCATGCAAAGAATGCTGACAAGAATACTCCTGATGCAATTGAGTATCGAAGCTCGCTTTGGAGAGCCATTCGAAAAGCAAAGGGCTTTGATGGTACCTTTGAGAGGTGGTGGACGATGAGACCCACTCAGCTTGCTGGGCTCCCATATGAGTTTCCATCTGAGCCACCCACGGCGGCATGCTGTAGTGCCATCTTTGAGGACTTCCACATCAACTATCGCAACTTTGAGTCGTGGCATGCCCGCAGACGCAAACAACTCATTACGGCTCAGTTCCAAGCCAACACCAACAAGATTTTCGAGGTCACTCGCAAAGAACCACGGGGTGGAGTCAACTACCTTGAGAAGACTACCACCACTACCATATTGGGGAGCTGTGCTGACCAGTCTCAAGTTCATGTTGACATTGAGCATGATGTTCAACTGCCTGCAACGGTCCAAGCTCATGAACATTCGATCCCAATTTGCTCCCAAGAGGGACAAGTGATCACATTAGATGGAGAATGGATGTTCCAGGAAGGGACAGAAGTGGAGATTGTGGAACAAGCTGCCACGCCTGAGAAGTTGCATCGGCAATTGGTCGACTTTTGGAAGCCACGATGGTGGAAAGATCCGCTCCCTACGCCTGATGAGTGGAGCAGAATCATTAACTTTGCCAAAGCGTATCTTCCGCCGGGCCAATTGGATCATGTGAATATCTCTGCAGAAACTTGGAGTGATATCAATCGAAGATATGGACCACGGGCCGCCAGAGGTCCGGATGGGCTCAGTCATTATGAGCTTCGGAAGATGCCATCACAGTTTCAAAGTGAATTGGTCAGTATTCTGAATCAATGCGAAGCTGACACTGTTTGGCCAGAGGTGTGGAAGACCGGATTTGTTCATTCTCTTGCCAAGAAGGAGGATGCAGTGCGAGTCAATGAGTATAGACCGGTGATCATTTATTCTGTCATCTACAGGTCATGGGGCTCCTTAAGGGCACGGAGATTTCTCAAATACCTTTCATTCACACCTTGTGGATGAGAAGCAGCTTGGCTTCATGCCGGGGAAGGAGGTTGCGGAAATCTGGATGCTGCTACAAGGTCTTGTCGAACGCAGTGTTCAAGACGGTGAAGAACTCATGGGATTTGTCACAGACATCAAGAAAGCCTTCGAGTCATTGCCAAGAGATCCAATTTTCGAGATTGCCCATCATCTGGGCCTACCTGCTAAGACCCTGCACCTGTGGAGGCACTTCCTGGACACAACCGAACGCAGATTCTTGGTTCGAGGGGAAGTCAGTGATGCGGTCAGGTCTAATCATGGCTTTCCTGAAGGATGCTCTTTGTCATGTGTGGCCATGTCGATTGCGGGCATTACATTGCACAAATATATGAATGAGTTCTCTCGGAGATGCGGAACCATATCCTATGTCGATAATCTGGAATTGCTGGCACGTGCACTTGGCGCTCTTCAACAAGGGGTCATCACCATGCAAACCTGGACCGAAATGTGGAAGCTGGAATTGGATCAGGAGAAGTCATACATATGGACCAGTGAAGCTGGGACGCGCAAGGAGGCAAAGATGCTGGGATGGAATGTAGTCAAATCTGCGAAGGATCTTGGCGCTCAGCTGAACTATGGTCGTGCGAAAAGTGTCCAAGCCCAAACTCAAAGGTTCTTGTCCTTGGAAGCCATCTGGCCAAAGCTTCGGCGTTGCCTTGCTCCATTGTGGCAGAAACAACGCCTATTACGACAAGCTCTTTGGCCTAAGGCATTTTATGGTATCTCCATTTGCACCATTGGATGGGCACACATCAAGTCTTTGCGCACTGAAGCAATGAAGGCATTGGGCTTCCAGATGGCAGGTGCCGCACCAGGTTTACGGCTTGGCATTCTTTGTCATGAACAATGTGATCCTGGCTTTTACCAAGTTTGGCAGGTCCTGACGACATTTCGTCGCATTGCAGGGAAGAGACCTCTGTTTCTGCAGATGTGGCATGATTACATGGATCGGTTTGACGGCAGTGCTAAGCAAGGCCCATTTGCCAAGCTGCTTGAGGTTTGTAATCAGCTGCGCTGGACCATTGATGTGCCGAAAGTGGCAGATGCAGATGGTTGCTGGCATTCTTGGCTGGATTTGGATGAGAAGGTGCTCTATGAGCTGGTGAAAGATGCATGGACTTGGAAGATCTACATGGAGATTCAAAAGAGGAAGGACTTTGAGGGCTTGCAGGGGATTGATCGACGTGTTCTTCTTCAAGCTCACAGACGAGTACGCCCTCATGCACTGAACTTGATTCTACGCCTCCAAGATGGATCTTTTGTGGAACCTTCTCAACACACCAAATATGACTTGAGCAAGGCCACGCTGTGTGCTCTTTGTGGAGGGCAAGATTCAATGGAACATAGATGTACCAAGTGTCCTCGACGACAAGCAGTCTATGTGAAACACCATGAAATCCTGGGAAAATGGACTACCTTCCCTAAGGCCAAACGCATACATTTACTGCCTTCTCAGAATCCCTATTTGGTCCCTTTCAAGAGAATGGTGATGCAAGCTGAAGATCAGTGGATGCGAATGCCAAAAACTCCTGAACCTGCCCTATGTCATCTTTTTACAGATGGATCATGCCATGGAGGAAGACATCGCCTCCATCACCTGGCAGCGTGGGCAGTGGTTAGTGCCACCAGCGACCAATGTGTGGCAAAAGGGGTGCTTGGTGGCCTTGGGCAGGACAATGATCGAGCTGAATTGAGAGCGGTTATTGCAGCAGTTCACTATGCCATTGAGGTGCAGAAGAACGCGGCGATTTGGACCGATAGCACTTTTGCTGCCGAAGGGATGGTACGACTTCTACAAGACGGAAATGATGTGCCTGATGGACATTGTGCAGATGATTGGGTTGAACTTCAAGGACTTCTCTGTCTTTGTGAGGTACACCTGTGGATTCACCATGTACCTGGCCATGCCAAATGGGTGGATCAAGACACTGATTTCGACAACTGGGCGGCCCGATGGAATGATCGAGCTGATCGAGAAGCCAACATGGCGATGAAGATGCATGGAGATGAACTTCTTTGTTTTCACCGGCAACTTTGTGGACACCATGAACGAGAACTTTCGGAACTATGTGCTCTACAAGAACTTCACTTGGATGTTTTGGAGAAACCCCAACAGAATCTGGAAGAGGAGGAGCAGATCGACAGAGGGGAGGAAGGTGGCTATGACTTGTGGGTTGAGCGAGGTTGCCCCATGAGTCCGTTACCATTTGCCAATCTTCCACATGGAGAGGATGATCGATTTGCTCCACTGCTGAGATCTTTTGGACGGGTTTTTGTGACCAATTTCCTCCAGATGCTCAAGAAGTGGGAAAGGGATGAGGCAGCCTTGGTTTGTAAGATCTCCTTCCTGGAACTTGCGGTGTTTGTAGCCACTGAGGGCAAGAAATGGGTTCCGATGCCTCATCCCCTTCAACCAGGATGCTGGCAAGATCGAGATGCCTTCAACTTCTCTGAGCCCAATTTGGGTGCATTGGTCAGGCTCGTGAAGGCCTTCTTCCTGATGCTAAGCCGGTGCTTTTCCCTTGATGTGAGTTGGTGCAAGGGCATCAACTTAGTTTATATAGGTGTGTGCACACCGGTTGATGGCCTAAGTCTGGCAATCACACCGGTTGATGCAAGTTTGTCCACGGACCACCTGCGTTGTTTCACCTCTCGAAGACCTATCCGGAGAGCCAATGACCTGGCTCGGCCATTTAGATAAGGTCGCCATTCTTTTCACAACTGCCACTGCACCAGCTGTGGCATTGGGAACAGACAGATTGTCCGCGCGTGAGGGATTCTGCCAGATTGAGGTTATTGAACGGCCAACTTGAAGACTATTTGAACTATTTGGTCAACTGTGTTTTCTTCATGAGGAAGGTGAAAAAATAAGAAAACACCTTGATTTGAAGCTTCTTAAGCCCTTATTCAAAAACAGCATATGTGCTTATTTGGACCCCTGATTCTTATTCAACAGAACCATTTTTTATTCATTGCCTAATAAAGACTGAATAAGGGTATGCCTCCTCTGAATAAGAAGAATTGCCAAATAGCAACTAATAGCAGCTAATAATTTTTCAAAATAGCTTAATAGCAGCTAATAAGGTGCAAATAAGGATATGTATGCTTCCCAAAAAAAAACAGCCCTCACCTGGGGATGGTTCGTCTTGGGGGTGGTTTGATAACCCATGATTGATAGGGCGGGAGGAAATGGGTCCAACTTCGCCTCAACTTGTTTAAGCCAAGTTGGGATGTTTGCTCAGCAATTCTGATGACATTGATGGAGAATAAATGGTGAAAAGGTGGAATAGACTGGAACATGGTGCTTTGAAACATGATGTATGTTCAAAATGGCGGATTCTACCAACAGGAGTGGGCGTATAAAGCCATCATTTGGGATATATTGGGATATATGAGATGCATGTAGAGACTTTCTTAGACATGAATGTGATTTGTTCACCAATATGTGATGTGGCTTCGTATCAAAATAGCATCCCCAAAGTGAATGCCATCATTGGGAAAGTTATCATAGACTGTGAGGTTTGGGCCCTGTTTTCAGCCAAAGCCATGTGGTTTCAAAAGACCACATGGATCAAAACTGATGGCTTTTTTAGGCTCACAAACGTGGCAAGCTTTAGTAGAAAATCCATTGACAATCCACCTTTTTTGGGGGTCCAATAATTTTGATCTATACCCAAAAATCTGGTTCAACCGTAGAAATGGGATGATACTTAAATCGATTGATCTCTTTTACAGGGACTTCCTGAGCCTTGCAATGGTTTGAAGAGGAAATGGTATGGACTAATTGTATCCACCTTTGATAGTGCATTCCTTCCATTTTTTTTCACATAATTGATCGTTCTCAAAAATCATTTTTGTTGGTTGCAAACTTGCTGTAACTTTTTTTGTTTAAACCCTTGGGCGTTTTGGTAATCAAACAGTGCATTTGGAGATCCTCCATGGAGGTCTTAATAGGAAGATCATCTATTCCTTAGGTGCGCAACTTGGTGGGTTAAAATGACCTGGAAAAAAACCTTTTTGTCAGACCTTACATCACCTTACATATGTTTACATTTGATATATACACAATTATTCACACATATTCAGCATTATTAAACATAGAAATATGTAAATATCTGTAATCATATTTAGGTCATAGTCCTACTCCATGAATGAAGATAGCATTTAGTCAGCGAACCTGGCAATGGAACATGTTCATCCATGGAGCATATGGGTGTGGGGTTGAAACAGATAGCGCCATTTTTTCGGGTTTTTTCAAAATCCCCCATGTTGTGGTTGACAGAGTCGGGGAGGATTGGGGGGGGCTGAAGGAGTTGCTAGGACCTACCCTCTGGTAAACTAACATAGCTATTGAAAATCACTATGTTTAATGGGTAAACCAACTATAAATGGCAATTTTCAATAGCTAGGTTAAATTACCAGAGAGTAGCATAAGCTTAAATGGATCACTTTCTTTTGGGGTGTTGTCAGATATTTTGGCGGAAAACCCCCGATTGACCCGCTGGTGAATCAGTCAATCATCATTGTTCCTCTTGAAAACTGCCAATTGGGGTGCTATACCCTATGTTTGCTATATTTGCTCATATGGGGGCTTCTTATCATGGGGGATCCCCAAGTCACCATAGGTTTCAATATGTTTCAATACTAAAATCATCGTTCATGACTTGGATGATTTAGGGGTTCAGGAACCCCCATTTTTTTTTTGGTTCCATATGTGTCATTTTCAAATCGCCATGATATCCGCCAAACGACGCGACTGGGATGCAGGCATTTGCTCGGTGCTCCTTTGCTATGGTGCCAGTGGAACGGGCAAGAGCTTCTCCTTGTTCACGGAGAATGGGCTCATCCCAAGGCACATTTTTCGTCACATTTTTCACGAGAAATCGCTGGGAATCGGCATATCATGGTGAAGTTGTTGTGGGACTTATGACTAACAGTTCGCCATGGGGATAGATGGCCCTAATCGAAATAGATGGTTTACCGAACTTAATAGCATGGTGGATCTTTCCATGGCGAACTGTTAGTCATAACCAGATGGTAACCATGGATTTAGCCTCTGATAAACTAACTACAGTTTGCGAAGTGGAAAATACCATTTTTCATAGGTATATAAATCAACTATTTTAATGTGCAATGTTCAATGGCTATGTTAAATTACCAGAGGGTAACTATAAAACCATGTGATTTTGTGGGATGTGAATGCGGGTGTTCATATGGTTTCATGGGATATACAACCCCATGATCAGAAAGTGGATGAAAGGAGATCTGATTTTTGCTACTCCAAGCCCAATTCACACGCTTGGATTATGTTAGATTCGATTGAGCTCCGAGCAACACTGACTGTGGGAAATCCCAGGGGAGGAGACTTTTTCCAATGACAGGAGACCCACCAACGACCTCCAGGTTTTCAGTCATTGCTGCTTAGATGGCCATAGGCCATAGTTCAATGGTAAATCCCATCTAACATGACCCTCCCAATAAAGGACCCCAAAGTGAATGGATCCGCTATGATCCAGTGCCAGTGCTTTTTCCCAAGGTTTCTAATTTGGCAATGTAGGGTAATTTAGGACAATGTTGTTTGTTGGCTTGTGGGATTTAGAGCAAGCGAGCCATACATAATAAGGCTTAATGAGGACAGTTTGCAAGAGATATCCCGATTCCCAAGGTTTTTATTTGAGCTTTTCTCAGGGTTTCGATGTGAACATTTCCCTGGAAGCTTTGACATGATTGACAGCCATCCAAAAACGGCTTTGAAGATCTTCTTTTCTGCGTATCTTGGTGGTGTCCAACATGGAATCCAGGAAAGCTCAAAATTCTGCAGAAAACGTTCCCACAGTTTCAGACTCATCATATTGGCTCTTGTTACAAACTGTTTGAACATTGATCGAGAAAACCTCTAAATACATTTAAATCCTATGATTTACCCTAGAGGTTATTGTACCCTTTTCCCAATGGATCCCAAATGCTATGAATCCATTGATTTTCCCTAGAAGTTATGGCACCATGAATTCCCAATGGGTCCCATCTATGCGTACTATATTTTTGTTGAGACACACCAATTTCGTTGACACGACAGGACGAGCGCAGATCTTTTCGAACAATGCCGAGAACTTGACACTGTCATTGCAGTGTCTTGGTGATGCGGCATGGCGAAGTACCCTGCGGTGTACTCAAACATGACAAACATTGTCAGATAATGTGAATATTGTGGGGATATAGATGGATGGGATATTCCATGGACTAGTATGGATGTGAGTAACCGATAAATTTATGGTAATACTAATTTTGTCTTTGCTTCGCCTTGGCCTTTCCGAGATTGCAAAAAACCTTCATAACCGATAGGGGACGACCCTATACCGATACCCCATTTGTGATACCTCCGGGAACACTGAAATCCTCACAAGCGATAGGGGACGACCCTAATTTGCGCATGGCATTAAATTTGACATATATATATATAATTTTGTCCGCTACTCTATAGATGGAAATATTCCAGAATATAGATGGAAGGGGAATATCTATGGAATACTGGTCCTGTGTCATCAGCTCCATGGCTGGGAAATCCTCGCGTTGAGAACTGAAGAAGATGGTGATCTGGTAATGAGGACCGTGATCGGAAGCCATTTGAAGAAATGACAATGTCATGGTCGTCACGGGCATCCGACTACTGAATGGGCTTTAGTGACTTTTTGAGTTTTGCCTACTTACTAACTTGTGACTTTAGTGACTTAACAGTGACGTTTTAGTGACTTAACAGTGATTTTAGTGACTTTAGTTCGAGTGTAATGTGGGTAAAACAATAATATACCACACATGACTGGGAATGGTAAACATACCACCTATGGTGATGACTGGGGGATGGTTTATCATTGTTTTACCCTCATACCCCACTAAACCCTCTGGGTAAGATCTCACTTGATTTTCTTGATCCGACTGGTTTGGGATGACGATCCAGATTGTTTGCGCCCCAGCAACGTTCGCGGAGTGGGTTCAAAAAAAATGCGGTGAACTCGCAAAAATGGGATTCAACAATATTCAACATGGAAAAACCAGAAAAGAACGTCTGAATTGTATTGAATTCGGATCAATTGATGTTGTTAACTTACGTTTTATGATTTTTCTTGGAATGCACTTTTGGATACCAACAATGTGGGATTAGAGCAGCAAACAGCCCATGATTGTGATACCCTTTAAGGTAAACAGCCACATAACGAACTGGAAAGATCCACCATGTTGAATGGGAAAAATCACGAACTAAATGGTGATTTTCCATAGTTCTGTCAAATTACCAGAGGGTAAAGGACATCTATACGTACGGTATATGATAATTGCTTCCCCAAAAAAGACTCAATGAACGTGTCAGTACCGACCTTTCACGCAAACCTCATTACTGACTCCTAATCGTTTCTGTCTGTTTCTGTGAATGGGTCCCAGCCATCTAGAAATTCTTCCAGGCGATTTTCCTGGGTCATTTTTGTCTCCCGAAACCCCCAGCCCATGAGGTGTCCTTTTTAAGCATCGTCCATGAGGCGGATGGATTTTGCTGGATTTTGCGACCTGGGACGTCTACGTCGTGATCACTGCAACCAGTTGTTGCGGTTAACAAAAAAAAACGGGTTCAGTGAATTTCCAACCACAGATTAATTGGATTAAACACAAACGACCCGGGATGACCCAGGAGTTTATGAATACGCAAGATGCTTCCCTTCCACGCATACCATGGCCTTGCCGGGGCATATTTTTTTTCAAAGAGAGGCTGCCCTACAATTAGCTAAGTAGGCTGAAAGCTATGTTGACTATGGTGAATAGTATGATGGATGATGATGGATGTATCTATAGCTATTGGGGTTTTAGATGTTTTAGATGTTTTAGGCCAGCTTAAAAAAACCTAGGGGCACCCTGCGCCAACCAGCAATCTTTGGGGGAGTACTAGATTACCATAGTGGGGATGGTCATACCACCATGAATAGGGGATTGTAGGCCTCATTCTTTTGAAAACGCCGTTGGGTGATGATCCCTATGACGTTTCAGGTGGGAAACCTACGGATTCCCACAACGAAAAATCCTGGGATGACCGGATTTCGGATGGCGAGGGAACTTTTTTTTTAATATGGCCACGAGTCGGCATCTCCGGACGTTTCCAAACAAACCCAATTCCCATCTTGTTGGCATATACATAGATAAATAAATAAATAAATATATATATATATTATATGAATGCGTTCCCAATGGCTTAAAATTAAAATCCACAACAATTCGCATGAACATCGGTGTCATCAGTGAAATCCCTGCAGGGAATCACCATCAAATCACCATCAAATACATCAGATCATCAAGAAAATCCCGCATGATTACCATCAATTACCATGAAAAATACGCCAAAATCACCATAAAATATAACCCATATGCTCCATGTATAGTATATTTACCTACATTTGGGTCATTTATGGGGTAAATGTTGGTAAATATTCCATACATGGAGCATATGGGTAGTGAAATCACCATGAACATCCCATTTCGCACATCATTCTCCACAGGAGTTTCGAGACCTCTTGCACCCCAGCAGTGACCGTCTGATGCTGCGCGAAGTACCCGGAACCAGCGGTCGGGGACGCACGGTGCTACAGCCAGGTGCGCTATGGAGACTCCGGGGTCGATGAGGTTTGAATGGATGTAACATTTATACAGTACCTGGTTGGTGGTTTGGAACATTTTCTATTTTCCATAATATATGGGATAATCCTTCCCATTGACTTTCATATTTTTCAAGATAGTTGAAGCCACCAACCAGATACACATTTATCATACTTGAAAGATTAGGGGTAAAACTCACGGTATATTTGGATGCTGAAAATACGGTATATTGTAGGCTGGTTGGTGGTTTGCAACATGATGTTTATTTGTCCATTCAGTTGTGAATAATAATCCCAACTGACTTTCATACTTTTATATTTTTTTCAGAGGGGTTGAAACCACCAACCCGATACACATTTATATACTGGTTGGTGGTTTCAAGCATTTTTCATTTTCCGTAATAGATGGGAATAATCATCCCAACTGACTAATATTTTCAGAGGGGTAGGTATACCACCAACCAGTATAGATTTATAATGAAAACAAAATGGTGGTTTGACGGAATATTGATGGAATATTAATGGATATAAATCTTCAGATTTTTGAAAAATTGGTGGATTTTTATGCAGTACCCTGAAGAATTGGCTGAAGTGTCTCAACGATCCCTCTTGGGACAGGAGAAAACTAGCCTTAAAATTACCCTCTGGTAATTTGTTACGTAACTATTGGAAATGGCCATTTATAGTTGTTTTCCAATAAAACATTGTGATTTTTGATAGTAATTTTAGTTTACCAGAGGGTAATGATGATCAAATGGTGATTTGATATGATTTGATGGAATGCTAATTGATAATTATATTCATGGAGATATATCCATGATGGTAGAATGGTAATATAATGGCAGTTCAGCTACAAACATGGTGATGCTAGTTTTAATTTTAATGGTGATATCATGGAATATGAATGGAATATTAATAGAATTTTAGTGGATGGAGGTTAGTTATCACTAATAGTTACCGTGGTTATAAACCAGCTAACCTGATGATTTTTGTAAATCCACTACTTCGGGAATCGAATGTTTTTAATCTTTTGGGGTTAGGCAAATCCAAGATAAGTAGCAAAGAGTGACCTGCATTATGATTAGGGGATGGTCATCAATCCATGTTTATAGTTGTTTTGTTTTTTTTAGCAGGGGGGGATCCTCACCCATAGGTTACCCTTTGGTAAACTAACATAACTATAGAAAATCACCATTTTGAATAGGTAAATCAACTATTTAACTACGGTCTATTTTCAATAGCAAACTGTAACAAATTACCAGAGGTTATATATGTTTTTTCCGTTTTGGTTTTATTGTGATTGATGATATTGATGATTCTGGGTTTCAATTCGGGGATCATCATGATCATCCCACGAATCGCGCTTGATAGTTGGCTTATGCTACAATGTGGCGCCCGCCCCCAGTTATAAGTTGGTTGAAAACATGGTGGAAGCCCCATGAAAAGTTGCTATAGTTGCCAACTGAAACCCAAGTTGGTTGTGCTATACATATATATATAAACCAACTTATTTCAACTTATTCGCTCTCATCAGCTCTAACAGTGCCATGAAATCAATGGGAATTCCAGGATCCTAAACTGGAGGTACGTTAGTACCATATAAGGCCATATTTTGTGGGGATATTCCCTGAAATTTAGGCCTAAAAAATAGGCCTTATATATGGGATTGGTACCTCCAATAAATCGGATATTTAGGATCCTGGGTACCTATGGCCATTGATGAAATCACCATGAATTTCTGGGTGAAATCACCATTTCCCCCATGGTTTGGGCACAGCCGAGGTGCCTCCAGCCACCTCGCGGCTTCCCCACAGGAGCTGAGTTTGTTGCTGGACGCGGGCTTGCGACAGTTGGCGGTGCCGCAGGGGGGGGTGATGTTCATGGGATCTCTAAGAAATTCATGGTGATTTCTATGGTGATTTCACCATAAAACAGGTGATGTATATCGAATTCAAGCAAGAAAGAAGGACATTTTAATGGAACTCAACCCAGGTTTCACCAAGAATGGTGGCATACGGAATAAGAATTAGATAGATAGATAGATAGATAGATGGGGGCCCCATTGAAGGCCTTGGAAGGGAAGCAGCCAGGTAGACGCCACGACCATGGAACTGAAGCTTTCTGAGGCGATGGCACAGCGAAGTGGATAAGCTGATGATGTTTATCCCGGTGATGGAGAGAGAAATTATGGAAATCATATCCCATATCCAGAAATAGTGGATTTTCCCATTAAAAATGGTGATTTTCAATAGCTATGTTCAAAGGAAGTTTAGTGGGAGAAACTTCCGTGTTACGGACTTTTAGAATGTCAGGGAAAGAGTTAGTCAAAGAAAGAGTTAGTCAAAGAAAGAGTTAGTCAAAGAAACAGTTAGTCAAAGAAACAGTTAGTCAAAGAAAGAGTTAGTCAAAGAAAGAGTTAGTCAAAGAAACAGTTAGTCAGAAACAGTTAGTCAAAGAAAGAGTTAGTCAAAGAAACAGTTAGTCAAAGAAAGAGTTAGTCAAAGAAAGAGTGAGTCAAAGAAACAGTTAGTCAGGGAAAGAGTTAGTCAAAGAAAGAGTTAGTCAAAGAAACAGTTAGTCAGGGAAAGAGTTAGTCAAAGAAAGAGTTAGTCAAAGAAAGAGTTAGTCAAAGAAAGAGTTAGTCAGGGAAAGAGTTAGTCAGAGAAAGAGTTAGTCAAAGAAAGAGTGAGTCAAAGAAACAGTTAGTCAGGGAAAGAGTTAGTCAAAGAAAGAGTTAGTCAAAGAAACAGTTAGTCAAAGAAAGAGTTAGTCAAAGAAAGAGTTAGTCAAAGACAGAGTTAGTCAGGATATATGAGGTAGTCAAAGAAAGAGTTAGCAAAGAAAGAGTTCGTCAGGGAAAGAGTTAGTCAAAGAAAGAGTTAGTTAGGGCATTGATTGTTCCCGCAATGCAAATGGGATTGCAAGTGGTGCTGGTGGATGAGTTGCCGATGGAGTTTTGAAGGAAGTCTCGCACGAAATGCGTTTTTGAGAGATAGCAGATGCACGAAACCCTTTGTTTTTCCAGACAAAGTGCGTCCCCGAACGTCGATGATCTACCTCTGCGGTGCGACGGGTGCGAGACGGTCTCGTGTGTGGTCGGATCATCCTCGGATCATGCTCGGATTGGTCTCGGATCGGTTCCGCATTGTCAATGGGGTTTCAACTGTTTTTCGTGCATGTGTGGGCGACAGAATTCCATTGTGATTTGCAACTGTAGGATCGTTCCCGCAATGTAAATGGGATTGCAAGTGGTGCTGGTGGATGAGTTGCTGATGGAATGCATTGTGATTTGCAACTCTAGGATCGTTCCCTCACTGTACATGGGATTGCAAGTGGTGCAAGTGGAGGAGTTGCCGATGGAGTTTTGGAGGAAGTCTCGCACGAAATGCGTTTTTGAGAGGTAGCAGATGCACGAAACCCTATGTTTTTCCATACAAAGTGCGTCCTCGAACGTCGATGATCTACCTCTGCGGTGCGACGGGTGCGAGACGGTCTCGTGTGTGGTCGGATCATCCTCGGATCATCCTCGGATTGGTCTCGGATCGGTCTCGGATCGGTTCCGCATTGTAAATGGGGTTTCAACTGTTTTTCGTGCATGTGTGGTCGACAGAATTCCATAGTGATTTGCAACTGTAGGATCGTTCCCGCATTGTAAATGGGGTTGCAAGTGGTGCTGGTGGATGAGTTGCCGATGGAGTTTTGGAGGAAGTCTCGCACGAAATGCGTTTTTGAGAGATAGCAGACGCACGAAACCCTATGTTTTTCCATACAAAGTCTGTCCCCGAACGTCAATGATCTACCTCTCCGGTGCGACGGGTGCGAGACGGTCTCGTGTGTGGTCGGATCATGCTCGGATCATGGTCGGATCATGGTCGGATCGGTCTCGGATCGGTTCCGCATTGTAAATGGGGTTTCAACTGTGTTTCGTCTATGTGCGGTCGACAGAATTCCATTGTGATTTGCAACTGTAGGATCGTTCTCGCAATGTAAATGGGATTGCAAGTGATGCTGGTGGATGAGTTGCCGATGGAGTTTTGAAGGAAGTCTCGCACGAAATGCGTTTTTGAGAGATAGCAGATGCACGAAACCCAATGTTTTTCCATACAAAGTCTGTCCCCGAACGTCAATGATCTACCTCTGCGGTGCGACGGGTGCGAGACGGTCTCGTGTGTGGTCGGATCATGCTCGGATCATGGTCGGATCATGGGCGGATCATTCTCGGATCGGTTCCGCATTGTAAATGGGGTGTCACCTGTTTTTCGTGCATGTGCGGTCGGCAGAATTCCATTGTGATTTGCAACTGTAGGATCGTTCCCGCATTGTAAATGGGGTTGCAAGTGGTGCTGGTGGATGAGTTGCTGATGGAATTCCATTGTGATTTGCAACTCTAGGATCGTTCCCGCAATGTAAATGGGATTGCAAGTGTTGCTGGTGGATGAGTTGCCGATGGAATTCCATTGTGCTTTGCAACTGTAGGATCGTTCCCGCAGTGTAAATGGCTGTGTCAAGGTTGCTTCGTGCTGTGGCTGCAGTGGTAATACTATTGTCTTTTGCAGCTGGACTTCGTAAATCGTATTGGAGTGGCTGCATGAAGGCTGCGACAGTGATTTGTCAGCAGATTTTCTCCATTTTGGCGCTAGTGATTTTCCTTCTAAAAATCCTTTTAAAAAGTGCTTCAAAATCGTCTTTTTTTTTTCGCTCTGGCGTCGAGATCCGGTTTTGGAGCTACAATTTCCGACGCCGTTGCGCGTAGTTCTATTGTGTTTTGCAACTCAGTCTCTGCAGATCGCATTGTAATGGCTGCGTCAAGGTTGCTTCGTGCTGTGGCTGCATTCGTAATACTCGTGTCTTTTGCAGCTGGATCTCGTAAATCGTATTGGAGTGGCTGCATGAAGGCTGCGACAGTGATTTGTCAGCAGATTTTCTCCATTTTGGCGCTAGTGATTTTCCTTCTAAAATCCTTTTAAAAAGTGCTTCAAAATCGTCTTTTTTTCGCTCTGGCGTCGAGATCCGGTTTTGGAGCTACAATTTCCGACGCCGTTGCGCGTAGTTCTATTGTGTTTTGCAACTCAGTCTCTGCAGATCGCATTGTAATGGCTGCGTCAAGGTTGCTTCTTGCCACGGCTGCATGCGTAATACTATTGTCTTTTGCAGCTGGACTTCGTAAATCGTATTGGAGTGGCTGCATGAAGGCTGCGACATTGATTTGTCAGCAGATTTTCTCCATTTTGGCGCCAGTGATTTTCTTTTTAAAAATTCTTTTAAAAAGTGCTTCAAAATCGTCTTTTTTTCGCTCTGGCGTCGAGATCCGGTTTTGGAGCTACAATTTCCGACGCCGTTGTGCGTAGTTCTATTGTGTTTTGCAACTCAGTCTCTGCAGATCGCATTGTAATGGCTGCGTCAAGGTTGCTTGGTGCCGCGGCTGCATGCGCAATACTATTGTCTTTTGCAACTGGACTTCGTAAATCGTATTGGAGTAGGTGCATCAAGGGTTCGACAGTGATTAGTAGTAGTGCTGGGAATTGATTAATGAAAGCTTAATAGATGACATATGAGAAGGGACGAAATGAGAAGAGATGAGCTGGGATAAGGTGAGAAGAGCTCAGATGAGATGAACTGTGGAGTGTGAAGAGTGTAGTGTGAAATGTGGGGCGTGAAGAGTGCAGTGTGAAGTGTGAAGTGTGAAGTTTGGAGTGTGAAGGAAGCAGTGAGAAGTGAGAAGTGTGAAGTGTGGACTGTGAAGTGTGGAGTGTGAAGTTTGGAGTGCAAAGGGTGCAGTGTGAAGTGTGGAGTGTGAAGAGTGCAGTGTGAAGTGTACAGTGTGAAGGAAGCAGTGGGAAGTGAGAAGTGTGAAGTGTGGAGTGTGAAGTTTAAGTTTGGAGTGCGAAGAGTGAGTGTGAAGTGTGAAGTGTGAGGTTTGGAGTGTGAAGGCAGCAGTGAGAAGTGAGAAGTGTGAAGTGTGGACTGTGAAGTGTGGAGTGTGAAGTGCGAAGTGAGAAGTGTGAAGTTTGGAGTGTGAAGGAAGCAGTGAGAAGTGTGAAGTGCGAAGTGTGAAGTGTGAAGTTTGGAGTGTGAAGTTTGGAGTGGGAAGGAAGCAGTGAGAAGTGAGAAGTGTGAGTGTGGAGTGGAAGTGCGAAGTGAGAAGGTGAAGTTTGGATGTGAGGAAGCAGTGAGAAGTGTGAAGAAAGTGTGAAGTGTGGACTGTGCAAGTGTGGAGTGCGAAAGAGCCAGTGTGAAGTGTGAAGTGTGAAGTGTGAGGTTTGGAGTGTGAAGGAAGCAGTGAGAAGTGTGAAGTGTGGACTGTGAAGTGTGAAGTGTGAGTGAAGTGTGGAGTGTGAAGTGCGAAGTGAGAAGTGTGAAGTTTGGAGTGTGAAGGAAGCAGTGAGAAGTGCGAAGTGAGAAGTGTGAAGTGTGGACTGTGAAGTGTGGAGTGTGAAGTGCGAAGTGAGAAGTGTGAAGTGTGAAGTTTGGAGTGTGAAGGAAGCAGTGAGAAGTGAGAAGTGAGAAGTGTGAAATGTGGAGTGTGAAGTGTGAAGTGTGAAGTTTGGAGTGTGAAGGAAGCAGTGAGAAGTGAGAAGTGTGAAATGTGGAGTGTGAAGTGTGAAGTGTGAAGTGCGAAGTGAGAAGTGAGAAGTGTGGACTGTGAAGTGTGAAGTGTGAAGTGTGGACTGTGAAGTGTGAAGTGTGAAGTGTGGACTGTGAAGTGTGAAGTGTGCAGTGTGAAGTGTGAAGTGTGAAGTGTGAGGTTTGGAGTGTGAAGGAAGCAGTGAGAAGTGAGAAGTGTGGAGTGTGAAGGAAGCAGTGAGAAGTGAGAAGTTTGGAGTGCGAAGAGTGCAGTGTGCAGTGTGAGGTGTGGAGTGTCGAGGGAAGGACACGGTCGGGACATGGTGTCTTTGAACTATAGGTCATTTATGTTTGGGAAACTTCCGCCGCCGGCTTGCCCGGGTCTATGTTAGTTGACCAGAGGGTATCCCATATGCAACCCATGGTGCTGGTATATAAAAACCTACGTCCGACTGGGTGATTTTGGACTTGCCGGGCAAATGTTGGGATTAAACTTCCAGGAGTCATGGAGGAACCATGGTTCGCATATGGGATATTGGAACATTGTTCCATGAACATGGGCTACAGTATGTACTATCATATACCCTCTGGTTATGTTAACATAGCTATTGAAAATGGCCATTTATAGTGGATTTACCCATTAATAATGGTGATTTTCCATAGTTATGTTAGTTTACCAGAGGGTAATACTATGAGGGAGGCGGGGGAGGTACGATGGAATGGGACATCCACCATTTGTGAAGGAAAGGTGCTGCAGCCACAAAAGGGCAGTGGCAGTTGATGGCTTCAGCGACAAAATGGCAACCTTCCGTTGAACCCAAGGGGTTCCCCCTTAAATAGTAGCGTATAATACTGTAATATATATATATATATAATTATATATATTATAATATTATATAATATATGATAATACGAATAATATGACATAGTCGTATGTTACAATATGGTATACTAAAATGGTCTCTCTCTAATGAGCAACAGCCCAGGGGTTAACTTTCATCCGGGCTTGACTGGCTTGAAAATTGGCTTTCATTTTCCAAAGCCAGACATACCCAGACCATCTGCGCAGGTGACTCAGATCTTTACCATCCATGTTGCTCGCTTAGGTCCGGAAGGAAACATGTGTGCGGGGATGGAGGTATCAAAAAAGACATGTTTTTTCCATCCGGGGTTCCAATCACAATCTCGAAACCCATGGTTAATCGCCTTAAGATACCACCCGAAACGTTTCGATTTAAACTGGATTTGCAGGGAATGTAGAGGTTCCCACCCCCCCACCCGAATTGGATGAAGGATGATGAAGGGATATGAAGGGCCTGGAAAAATCACAGTTTCCTGAGTGTCCTGATTATCAAACGTGGCAATTGAGAACCCTTTATTGATTATTAGTTGGTATGAGTGGATTTTTAATGGGACATCAACAATGCAATAGCAATGACCTTTTTCAAAATCTTCAGCGCTTGGAGAAGCATGGCCTGGCGACTGGGAAATCCAGTGAGGATCGGGATCGTTTTCATTCATTTTCCACGTTTTCCATCCTACCCTCTGGTTATGTCAACATAGCGATTGAAAATGGCCATAGAAATAGAGGATTTACCCATGAAAATGTTGATTTCCGTTATGTTAGTTTACCAGAGGGTAGTGCCTCTTCAGCAAATCCACGACTGCTCAGGCGTGACAAATTCACCATTGCTCGTCGCTCGTGTTATCTCGTTCTGCTCGGCAGGAGAGAGTGAAGCTGCCGCAACAATCCAGTTCGTCCACATGGCTGATAGCCCCTTGGTTTGTAAAGGGCTGGGAACGAACCCTCGGGGACCCGTCTGCATGATTCAAAACAGAATCATGTTGGGCGTTGGCAACATGTTCGGCCCCTTCAATGATGCATCATATACCAACTCTTCCTTCATTAATGATTTTTAATGATGTATGCGTCTGGAAAATGGATAATTGTGTTTTGTTTTAATGACGCTGTGCAAGCACCACAACTAACAGCACGAAAGAATTTGAACCAGGTTTCATGGTGGCCCTGTGGTTACCATCATTTTTAAGAGGAAAAAATGAGGTAAATCATCTACATCATCTACAAACAAGCCGTTTTCCATAGCTATGGAGCAAATTACTCAGAGGCTGAGCCGAATGAAAAGCATGTTCCCGGCATGATGTCTTGGATCTATTCGTCTGACTTGGGGGTCCAAGTAAGGGGTGTTTAATATTAGGATTAGGGGATTAATTGATATTAATTGCATATCCCATATGCTCCATGGTGCTGGAATATGCACACGAACATTTACCCCACAAATGACCCAGTCATGTAGGTTTTTATATACCAGCACCATGGTTCGCATATGGGATATGTTTTCCTTCTGTGGTTGATCATTGGGGGATGGTGACTATGGCTGTGTCGCCCTTGCCACTCTGCCTCTAAATCGTCTCCAGAAAATATGGTTCATGTAAAACAATCCCAGGTACCATTTGGTTTTCACATGATGGCGCAATGGTGTAACATGATCAACTTCAAATTGCAACTAAGGTTCAAATTGCAACTCCATTGGTCGCTCGCCCGTGAAAAACACGTTTTAGGAAAGACTATGGTATATAGTTAGATTCTCTCTCGGATGAAACAACATCTGACACCCCTAAGGTGTTGCCATGAGAAATTTCATGACTCGGAAGAGTGACCAGCTGATCAGCAATCCAGGATCACACCAAATCAGTCCTCAATCTCCAAAACCTCGCTGAAGGGAACATCTACCAGAAACCCCTGCATTGTTTTCGGTAAAAACAGATCAGCAAAATCCATGGAACATGCCATATATTGAAGCCATAGAAATCAATAGAACATCGTTTAAAACAATCGAGTTGATCAATATTATATTCACTGGTTGGTGGTTTGGAAATGTTTGGAACATATATAGGGAAATTCATGGAATTTCATCATCCCAACTGACGAACTCCATGGAATCCCCTGAGAAGATGGCCGGACCAGGTGCTCGCTCACGTGAGACACGGCCCAATCGCAGTGTCACGGGGCTCATGGAGGTTGTGAGTGCTCTAGCCAGGCGGGGCGGCTGCATCAGTGGCTTGAAGATGTTGATGTGTTCAACATGTTTTAACAACGTGTTCTAAGAGCATGTTTCAAAAGAGAAATCGCATTGAAGGTGATTGTGATGTTTTAATCTTAAATCACATGATTTCACATCGAAATTCGATACAATATATATATATATATAGTTGCTTGTTTGGTTTTGCTTGCCAATTCTTTGGGACCTAGATTAAGACATTTTGTCAGGTAAATGTGCCATGAAATGGGGTCAGATGATCACATCCCAAGACTATTCTTATACATTCTGATTTTGTTCATGGATCCGAAAAATGGTGACAGCCCCTAAAAAAGAGCTGTTCATGGATCTGAAAAAATTGGTGACCCTAAAATTGGCATGCATTGGCAAGTTATTTTCAATATTTTGAGGGCTTGAATGCTATCCGATGATTGACTTTGCAGGCGCGATAGTTTCATCCCCTATCGCAACAGCAAACTGACCCGTTGGTGCCTTGACTCGCTGGGGTGGATTGGGTTTAGGTTCTGGTACACGAACCATTTTTAATCGGGGAAAAAGTCGAACTGAATGGGCCATGCTTTCCATACATGTGCTAGTTTACGAGAGGGTAAAGGACAAATATATAAATAAACAAACATACCCCAAGAATCACCCGTTTTGAGAGGAAAGTTGTCTTACAGTTACAGCCCCCTATTTTGCAGGATCTATATATCTTAGTTGAGGATGTTGATGGGTAGTAGAGGAAAGCATGTAATTTTTGTTGACCGTCAAAAGGGTCCACCACGAGGCTCTAAAGGCAAAGACGCTGGCTTTGTTGGACGAAGATACCCAGTGTGCATCCTTTGCTGGTTGGTGGTTAAGGTTAATCTATGGTTAATAATGGTTAATAATTGGAATAACAATATATCTGGTTGGTGATTTGGAACATGAATTTCATTTTTCCATATGTTGGGAATAATAATCCCAATTGACTAATATTTTTCAGAGGGGCTGAAACCACCAACCAGTATTTAATCGTTGCATGTTTCCGTTATCCACCAGGTTTTTTCCCAGAAACAATAGCACTACCTCCTCGTAATTCAGAACAGAACCAGAGCAAGACTTCTTGAGCAGACCTGACAAGCGTGGAATCACAGTTATTGTGGTCGGAAGCGCTACGTGTTCAGCTATGTTCAGCTTCCTCCGTCCCTTTGGTAATTTGACATGAGAATGGAAACTCATCCGCTATGAAGTAGCACAAGTAGCACGATGTTTCCTTTTAAAGACTGTGAGCTACCGATTCCAAAGCTGGATGAATCACGGACAAAAAACGAAACTACAACACATTATATTATTAAATGATGTACAATTAATCTACATACACTTTCCAATTAAAACAGTTTCCGTTTGAAAAATCCACGGGGGATTTACACATGACCCGACCCGGGTTAGGCTTCAACCGGCCTTGCGCGGTTGCGCCCTTCTGCGGCTGCTCTGCACGGCCAGCCCAGTGGATGAGGTGCGGCAGCCGTTGGGTAAATCCAAGGGGTTCCGCAGGTGTTTTCTCTACAAAGTGGGGCCCCCATTGGATAGCTAAGTTGGTGAACATAACTACAATAACTAGGGTTTATGGTAGTTATAACGAACTAGGTAGATTGGGTTATAAACCAACAAACATAACTAGAGGGCCCCACTTTGTATACGAATGTGTTTTCTCTATTTAATGTGGTGGTGTTCTGGACCAAAAGGTCCTCTCGTAATGGTAACCATTGGTTCATACGTTCATTTTTCCGAGCATTTCATGGCATTTCAACGGTGGAATGTTTGAACATTGGCCATGGTAACCACGTTTCAAACCCCACTAAAAGTCTAAAAAGTGGAATAAGTCTAATAAGTCTAATATCTGGTTGTATCTATTCTTCTGGTTTTTCTGGCAGCTGGATTTTGCAGGCAAAGTTCCAAGACGGAATGTTGGTTATCCGACTAAAGACTCATTTGTCGACCTGTGAGGGAGTCCACAATGATGATAGTGACATAGTCACTAGTCACTAGCCCCATTTCCAAGACCAGACATTTCGAAGCCCAAGAAAAACTGTTTGGTGGTTTCAAACATTTTTTTCTATCATATATGGGATAAACTTCCCATTGAATTAATATTTTTCATGGTTAAAACCACCAACCAGAAAATCCCATCCGTTCATACACCCTGGCCTATGGTCCCAATGGTTTCAGCGGTTTCATGGTGCTTCAAGGGACGATCGGACACAACCTGCTGCTGGGCTATACGTGTCATATGTCGGCCCAGTGAAATGTGTCTTGGTTTATCAAGCCCATGGATGATAGTTATAAAAGATGTCATACGATGTCATAAGATGCCATAAGATGTTTTAAGATGTCATAAGCTGTTATAAGATGTTATAAGATGGTATAAGATGTTATAAGATCTTGAAAGATGTTTTAAGATGTAATAAGATGTTTTAAGATGTCATTCAATGTCATAAGATGTTATAAGATGTCACAAGATGCCATAAGATGTTTTTAGATGTCATAAGCTGTTATAAGATGTTATAAGATGGTATAAGATGTTATAAGATCTTGAAAGATGTTTTAAGATGTAATAAGATGTTTTAAGATGTCATTCAATGTCATAAGATGTTATAAGATGTCACAAGATGCCATAAGATGTTTTTAGATGTCATAAGGTGTCATAAGATGTTAAAATATGTTTTAAGATGTCACAAGATGTTTTAAGATGTCATAAGATGTTTTAATATGTTTTAATATGTTTTAAAATGTCATAAGATGTGTTAAGATGTTTTAAGATGTCATAAGATGTTTTAAGATGTCATAAGGTGTCATAAGATGTTAAAATATGTTTTAAGATGTCACACGATGTTTCAAGATGTCATAAGATGTTTTAATATGTTTTAAAATGTCATAAGATGTGTTAAGATGTTTTAAGATGTCATAATATGTCATAAGAGGTTTTTAATATGTCATAAAATGTGTTAAGATGTTTTAAGTTGTTATAAGAAGTCAAAAGATGTCATAAGATGTTCTAAGGTGCCGTAAGATGTCATAAGATGTCATAAGATGTTATAAGATGTCATAATATGTCATAAGATGTTTTTAAGATGTCATAAAATGTCATAAGATGTTTTAAGATGTCATAAGATGTTTTACATGTCATAAGATGTTATAAGATGTCAAAATATGTTTTAAAATGTCATATTATGTTATAATATGTTTTAAGATGTCATGAGATGTTATAAGATGTCATAAGATGTTGTAAGATGTCATAAGATGTTGTAAGATGTCATAAGATGTTATAAGTATCATAAACCAAGGTACTCGTAGTTATTGAAGTTCACCAGCTTAGCACCACCAGGTCACCACGGGCCCAATGTTGGGTCATTCGTTCAGGAGGAGACCCTGCGAAGCATGCTCTTCGCTGCGGATGCCAGGCAGCTGAGCAACTTTCCCAAGGTGGGCAGGGAGGCAGGGATGAAACCTCTGAAAAAATGGAAGAGACATTGCAAAAGCTATGACAAAATACAGAGAATACCAGGTTAGGCAAGAGACCTGCACCATGACTTCGCCATGGTTTTACAAAGCAGAATTTGGATGTAGGGATTTATAAGCAAGATGACCATGCTGTTCAAAGTGAGGTGTTTATTTCATCGTTTTTTTTGGGGGGGGCGCTTCACAAGCCCGCAAAGGGTCAGAGTCATAGCTGATACCATGTTTCTTGATTACATATGGGGTTTTCCTAAAATGGTGGTATCCCAAAATGAATGCTTTTGTATTGGAAAAGCTTATTAAAGTGGATGGTTTGGGGGTACCCCTATTTTAGGAAACCTCAATATATATATATATACCACACATACATTACTATAGTATACTATACTATACTATACTATGCTATGCTATACTATACTATACTAAACTATACTATACTATACTATACTATACTTTACTATACTATACTATACTAAACTATACATTTCATACATACATTTCATACATACATTTCATACATACATACATACATACAGACAGACAGACAAACAGACATACATACATACATGCATGCATGCATGCATACATACATACATACATTTCATTCATTCATACATACATACATACATAAATACATACATACATAAATACATACATAAATACATACATACATAAATACATACATACATACATAAATACATACATACAGACAGACATACAAACATACATACACAAAAACATTACATTACATTACATTACGTTACGTTACGTTACGTTACATTACATTACATTACATACATACATACATACATACATACGTACATGCAATCATACATACATATTTATATATATATATATGTGTGTTTATGTGTGTGTCCCTAAACTTGTTCGAAGAAAAACAAGCAGTAGAACCTTTTCAAACGGTGGACTTTTATATGTGGGAAGTTTTACGGGTTGACTTTCATTTGTAGCCCGTAGAATCCAGGTGACCCAGGTGTCCAACTTTTCAAAAATTGACTTGTTTGGGGTACAATGGGTTTTTTATAAACCAATTATATATTCATGTTATATGAACGTACTATGAACATACTATACACATATATAAACCAATTCAATTCATTCAATTTGTCAATGCCCCCGCCAACACCTCGTGGTGACACGTGATGTCGAATTAGGAACTTCAGGGTATGGTAGTCATGGCCGTAGAATGCGAGGTTCTCCCGTTCTCATCTACACATGGATGGATAGTGATGGATATGATATATATATATATATATATATGTATACATGTGTATTATGAAATATTTGCTGGACTTTCATTCATGGGTTGATTTGATTGGATTGTCTTGACTTGATTTGATGGATTTATTGATTGACTATGATTCATTAATGAAATGCAGATGGATTGATTGATGCTTCCGGTTCCCGTTTGGGACTAATTATGTATCAGGTGTTGTTTTGATTACGGGAGTGGTACCTGCACTACTTACTCATCTATCCTCATTGGCCCTCATGCCGCGAGACTTGGACGGCTGCTCGTCATGTGGTGGCCACTTCGATCCAATGATCAGCCCTGGAGTATTGCAGGCCTTTCACTTCGAGAACTGGATCAACTGCACATGGGATCCCATCTCATGTTGAACAGTTTGGGTGAGCTGCGCATCTGCCTTGCTGCTGGTGCTATTATGGAACACCCGGCCATTCCGGATCCGCCTGACTATGCCTCTGTGTGGCGCTGGTTATGCGCTACGGCGCCGCATCGGTGAAGCCTGCCATTTTGCGTGGTCTTGGCCTTCCTGGACTTGCCCGCCATCTTCAGACAATGATCAGGACTGGATTGAAAAAAACATGTCCACATAAAGAATCACTGAACGGTCCATGATAGTACTAAATCCCTCCACATGCATGCAGTCATGCTATAATCTATACATCTATATACTGATAGTATCTGAAATCCCCAACTGAACACCATGTTGCAGATAAATTGTGCATTAAATTTGCCAGGATATGTCGCCGCATGGCTCCACCACCATTGCTGTGCAAATCAGTTCAAATCCTTATGTTTTAATGGACACGCCATGATGCCATGTATACATGACGTAAATCAACCAGATATACCCTCTGGTAATTCAACATAGCTATTGAAAATGGCCATAGAAATAGTTGATTTTCCCATTAAAAATTAAAGATTGCCATTTTCAATAGCTATGTTGAAATACCGGAGGGTATGTGAAAAATAACGGATAAATCCACATGATCAACCATCAGCTGGAAAAATCTGATGTGTTTTCTCGACGACAAAAAATCCCAGTATATCCCCACCCAAACTATCCCTGGTACCTATCTTGTATTTATGATATGTATGTCCTAAAATATCCCTAGTATGGTCCAAAATATCCCTTGTATGCTTTCTTATGAAAATCCATTAATTATGCTTTTTGGCAGTCACATGTGGCAATTGAACACTCCCCATTTATAGATGGTTTTCCCATTGCTGTAAAACATCCATTGATTGGGCATTTCCCAGCTAGCCATGGATTGCCGTAAGGCCGTAGGGTTGATCCGTATCAACCAACAGTCCATCATTGCATGGAATATCAACAAAAAGCCCCATGACACCACCATTTTAGCTACCCTTTGGTAAACGAACATACCCTCTGGTTATTTAACATAACAATGGAAAATGACCCATTTATAGATGGTTCGGTTCACCTATTAAAAATTGTGATTTTCCATGGCTTTGTTAAATAACCAGATGGTAACTATTGAAAATCTCTTATTTAGGTAATCAACTATAACTGGGCCATGTTCCATAACTATGTTGAAGCACAAGAGGGCATACCCCATGAACATAACCCCAAAAAAAAGGTGGATCGTTATACCCCAAAAACTCTTGGCCCAGGCCCTCTCGCTGGAGCCCTCAGATCCCGAGCCGCAAGATGCTTTCGCGCTGCAGTTGCACTCCTTGCGGCGGGGATGAAATGAGTGTTTCACCGCTGGCGGCAATGGCCAAGAAGATATCAAACATGTAGATAAAGGATGATCACGGAAGGAAGTGGGGATGTTACTAACAAAAGTGGGCGGATAGGAGCCCACTGTTTAAATCAATTCGATGGTCTTGGAGATGCCTATATGCCACTTCAAGCATGGGCCACCCGCAAAATCACAGAAGTGAAGGTGCTGAATAGGAAAAAAGACTTATGATGTTACCGATGATGGTTTCACAATGTTTCATATATGATCCTCCTAATTTCCAGGTTTGGAACTTGTTCGATCTTTTTTCAGTTCCCAAAAATGATGTCATCCATTTGCTTCAGCCGCGCCGCTCCTCCCGGCTGGTGAGACACGTCCACTTCGGGGGCGCCCCCGGACACGGCCCGTCGTACAGCGGCCCGTTGACCGCGATGCCCAAGAGCGGTCATGGCACGCCCACGGGGCGGAGGCTAAGGAATCGCTCCGAGTCGGACCTCCGGGGGAAACTGGGCGGGGCCCTTGATGGCCCTTGAATTCAGGATAGGCCGGATAGGCCAAACGGATATTATTTTAGTGACGATATGTACCATGTTGTTGATTTCTGTTGATTTCTGTTGATTCCTATGAGTTTGAAAACTCCACATTTTTTGGGGGGTGGACATCCTTTGAGCTTCAGAAAGTACTGGGATGGACGTGGCATCAGGGAACCAAAACTTCGAGATGCTGTAATTAGTGAGTGAGGCCCCGCCTGGATTTCGTTTTGCTGTGGTTATGGAGCTTAGATGAGCTTGGCTTTGATAGACCAGGAAACTCAGCGTTCGGAGGGGAAACACAATAAGTCTGTGAAAAACATTGTATTTGGTGGTGTCGTTTTGTAATGCTAGATGGTTGCGTAGGCCATACCCAAGTCATCCATGCAGCAGGGGCACCCCCAAACCTTCAAATATGTGAAGATCGAGAATATATATATTATAAGAAAACCATCAACAAAAACATCATGGGAAATCAAACAATTTTTTGAAAAATGATGGAATTAGATAGAATCATCATTGCCTATTTTGGCAAGCAGCTTATTGGGGCTTGTACATGTTCAAAAGGCCGGTTCGGGGCCATGACGTACAAAACTCATCTGGAAACTGTTCTGCCAGGAAGGCCCACCAAGTGCTGCTTTTCCCTTGTGCAAATCATCAATTATCATTATGACTTCAGGAATTCAGTATGCTTCATTATCATTCATTATCATTATTCAGGTTCGCATTCCATATTCACGTGTTAATTATATACACCCCCTAATGATGCCGTAATGTCGACCCTGGATCAATTAAACTCTTGGGCTGTTTATTATAAACCTCCATATATTTTCTACTGGCAGTATTCTGTTAGCTATTCCCAGGGGCAATAAATAACATATAATAACAGTGTCTAATATTTCTAGACTAGGTTTTCCCCATGGATTTTCATGGGTTTGTTCGTTTTTGGTGTTTTTCCCCATGGATTTTCCCCACGGATTTCCCCCACCCTGACGTTTTCCACACCGAAAAAAAATCCCCGAGGAACACCACGGAGGAGGACACAGACCTGGCGGATGACCCACCGAACAGCAGCTCATCACTAACGGGAAATGGTGTTTTTTTTGGGGGATGCTTCCGCCCCTGGATAGTCATGGTTAGTCATGGTTAGAGTGAAAGATTACTGCTTGGTGGTGACTGGAACCATGGAATTTTGAATGCCTGGAACCATGAAGAGTTGGGAATGTCATAATCCCAACTGACGAACTCCATGATTTTTCAGATGGGTAGGTATACCACCAACCAGAGTGGAAATTTATTTAGCCAGATGAAGCTTGGCAATACCATAAAGTATGCCAATGTGAGATGGTTAGAATGGGATGTTCAAGACACTAAAATTGGAGGTTGAAGCATCGGAAATGGGATTTACCCAAGGGTAAACGTTGACATAGCTGTGGAAAACCCAATGGCTTTCCGCTTTCACTTGTTTTACGGGAGGGTAATATGTTGTAACCCATATGCTCCATGGTGCTGGAATATTTACCAACATTTACCCCATAAATGACCCAGTCATGTAGGCAAATATACTATACATGTAGCATATGGGTAATGATATGTTTGATAATGTTTAATGCCTTGAAGTTTCAATATGTTACCATCAATGTGGAGATATGATCCCACACTGGCGATTTTCGAATGGCGGTTAGAAACGAAGGGGAAATCATCAGAACATGAATTGATTGTAAGATCATAAGTGTATAATTGTGAAAAGACAAGGGCAATACAATTGGTTACAGGACGTTTCAAAGTCTCTTGGAATAGGTGTAGTAAATCTGTGACTGGTGTTTCTTGTTTAAAACCAAGTCAATGTTGCGTTGAAATGATGTGCAAGCAACATTTTAGATGGGGTCATTCCAGCTCTTCGGACAGGTCTTAGACGTATTTTTGTCAGGTCAGGGTGACCTGACCCAGGCGAGCAGGAAAGCAATGAAGCTCGGAAGGTGGCGCAAAACAACGAAGGCGCTACGGACTCCGTCACGGACACGACAGACGACTCCACTGGGTTGATCTAACTTGATCTGGGATCACCAGGGGCTTTCAAGAACTGGAAACCTGGAAATTCAATGAATGTATAGTAGATATTACAAAGTGGGGACCCCGTTTACGATAGCTAAGTTATGCTAAGTTGTGAACATAACTCCAATAACTTTACAAGTGTATGATAGTTGTAACTCTAGTTCATGGGCTTTGTAAATGTTTTTCAAGCAACAAACATAACAGAGGGACCCACATGATATGCATCACATCATGGATTTGTTGCGTATTTGTTTGAAGGCCTCAAATTGGAATACTCGCCCGCTCCCATTTTTGGGCAAGCCTTCCGGAACGCCATTCTGATTCTGATGATGGAGGTGTTCTCGGTTTCTATTGTCACTGACATTTTTATCAACCTCATATGCAAACCATGGTCTGGAATATGCACACCAACATGACTACCCCATAAATGACCCAGTCATGTAGGTAAATATACTATACATGGAGCATGTGGGAACATGAATCATATTAATTACTATTGATCTATTGACTACTAGCTGACTAGAACTAGGCTATAGCTATTGACTATTACTATTGATCATCTATTTACTCTGACTATTACCATTTTTATCAACATTACTATAGACTATTAACATGAATCATTTTTTATTGATCTATTGACTATTACTATATCTGACTAGAACTGACTATAACTATTGACTATTACTAACTATTGACACTAACTATTGACCATTACTAACTATATATTGACTATTACTAACTATTACTACTAACTATTGACTGTTACAACCGACCCCAAGTCAGAGGCGGCGAGAAGTTGCTGTCCAAGGTGAAGATGAAGAAGATGACCATTCGACGCTGGGCTTCTGATGAATTTTGGATGGTGAAATGGAGGTGTTCTACCCAGTCATGTAGGTAAATATACTATACATGGAGCATATGGGATGATTAACCATTGCCAAAGGGTAAATCCCATTACCCTCTGGTGAAGTAACATAGCTATGGTTTAAATCACCATTTTATAGCTGGGAAAATCCGCTATTTCTATGGTCATTTTCAAAATGCTGACCAAATTCATTGAATCAAAAAGGAGAACTTGTGGTGTTTATCTATGATTATGTATGTGCTGTTTGTTGTTGTTATGTGTTTGTTTGATATGATTTTAAGATATGTTTCAAGTTTTGACCACCAGAAGCACCAAACAAACATGTTTTGGTCTCCACCAAGAATATGTCCACAGATGGGAGTTAAAACTTGAAACCAATCTTACAGCTTTTCACACCTGGCTAGTGGTTTCACATCTATACATGTGTATAAATGTTCCGTGTACATGTTCCATCATGTTCCCCCCAAAATGGATGAAAGCTTTGGGATGAAAGCTTTGGGATCTCCCTGGAATTGGGGATCCCGCAGAACATGGGATTTTAATGGGATTTTGATGGAATGTGATGGGATTTTAATCCACTTTTTATGGGATCTACCCTCTGGTTTTTACACAAAACCAACTGGAAAGATCCACCATGTGGGAAAATCAACGATTTCTATGGCTGTTTTCAATAGCTATGTAAGAAATTTAAAGTGATCGATATTTTTCAGCGACGACGCGGACACCTCACAACGCGGACACGACCTGAAGTTGAGTAGGTCCATTGAGTGCACCCTGTGGACGGCCCCTGGGATCCCTGGGATCCCTCGGTCCCTGGGGTCACTATATGTAATGAATCCATGTTGGAGGCTGGTTTAGAGACCTACTTGGATAGATTGAGGCGACTTGGGCAATGGAATTCGCATGAAAACATGGCGAAAAATGTGGCATGGGCACATCTTGAAGCATCTTGATAGTTGCTCGCAATATCGACCGGGAGTGTTCTACTGCTGGTAGACTTCATTTCACCGGTGTCAGATGTCACCAGCCCAGGGTCGTGACCATAAGTATCCTTTTTCCAGTGGTGCTTTGCTGAACAGATATTTTTAGATGGTCGACCCAAATTTTGAAACAACAAATAAATTATATACACTCTGGTAAACAAACATAACTATGGAAAGTCATCATTGTTCATGGGTAAATCCACTATTTCGACTGGGCCATTTTCAATAACTTTTTGTATGTTTACCAGAGGGTAAGTAGATGTCCAAAGCCATTCAATTCCAGTATGATTGGGGCTCCGTTTTCACGGTTTTTACCATGAGATTGGTCTGGAAGAATACCATCTAACATGTAGATGATTGGATCCCGAAGGAACACCAATTAGTTAATTGATTACTATAGTTAGATACTAGGTCAACCTTAGATGGGTCCTTTAATCCTTCAATCTTTTGCTACAAATATAAATATCATGAAATTAAATACCTACTAACCAGCTAACAAATGACTTGTTTTGCTGGGTATCTAAGATTGGTAATGGATAACGTCATGGAGTCAGAAGCACTTTCAAAGATTTCCCCCACTGCGGGTCCCCAGCCCTGGCTGCCACTGCTCAGGTGCAGTAATGGGTGTCAGTATGATGGTGACGTGACCCAGCTGCAGCGAGGGTTTATCAGGCGTGGTTATTTGCATTCGATGCATAGACATGGAGGTTTCGCAAGGCATGGGGGTACCCCAACTCATCACACATGTATACAAATATATACATATACACATTTACTTTGTATATACATGTGATATATACACATATACATATATATATATATATCATATATCATATATATATATGTTTATATACATATACATGCAATGTATACATACACGCTCTAGATTTCACCAATTGGCATCGAAAGTTGGAGATTCTGTTGCATTGGCCCAGTCGGGATGGGTATCTTTATGAAAAATCCACTTTTTGTTTTTCTCGATGATTTTCCCATGATGAACCCTGCATATCTACCATATACATCTATACATATATATATACACATATATTTATATATGTAAATTATATCTATATATGTATATGTATATATATATACATGTATACACCGGATTTTTAGTTGCTGCCATTGATTGAGGCTTTTTGATCTTTTTTTGACCCAGTTGATCCTATCAGAGTCAGCGGACTTCACCATGTTTCACCTGTCGGCACGTCCGAGGTTTGGTGGCATCATCTACTTGGGTCATTTGCTCCCGGGCCGCAGCGGACTTCACCATCCCAGGATGGCATGCCCAACTAATGATAAGGATAGTAACAATAAGTTACAATAAGAACAATCAATAGTAAATAATGATGATATATAATTATCAAGCAACAAACATATACATATGTATAAATAAATAAATAAATTGTGAAGGAACCCCTGCATTCAGCCATGACTGCCAGGTTGCTGTGAGCCACCACTACAACTTTATGCCTGCCGGCCCTGACGCTGGTTCAAATGCAGCCGGCCTGAGGATGTCCGGTCCGTCTTCACAGACCGGCCCGACTAGACCTCCGGTCCGCGGGAGAAGCGGGAAACAGCATGCATCATGCAACAGCATGAGCAAGACAGAGAAGCACAGAAGTAACATGGACAAGATCAACAGATCGTCATGCAAGTGTACAGAAACATATACCTTTCTTTTTGTTTCGTGGCATAAAACAGTTGCTCGCTTGCCAGTGCACGCTTCGCACTGGTAGCGGAGCTTTGCGTTGCCGCCGCCATGTCGACTGCTGGATCGCAGCCGTTCTTCAGAGATGATGAGGTGGTTGTGGATCGAGACGGGATCCCTCACTACACGGGATCAATCCCAGGACTGATGCGGGAATACCGCCAGAGGGTGTTGTTTGCCTTCAACAACCTGGAGGGCGATGGCAAAGATGAAGCAGAAGAAGCCCGAGACCTGGCAAAGAAGAAACAAAGGTTTGGCAAGAGATTGCTGGACGCCTTGCATGGTGAGGCCTACAAAGCCTGCGAGGACTTGATGGCCGACCACGAGAAGCTGAGAGAGCCAGAGGGGTACAAACACATCTTTGCAGCGCTCCAGACGATCGAGAAGGTCAACATCGTCAAGCGCACCGAAGCCTTCGACAAGTTCTTTGACTCTTCTCAGCGGAAGAGGGGACAGCCGGTGGACACCTACATCCGGCAAAGGAAGCAACAATGGTCCGAGTTGCAGGATGTGGCAGAGAACGTGCAGATGTCTGAGGATCTTCGAGCCTACTTCCTGCTGAAGCACGTGGGCATCACCAGAGAAGATCGACGGACGGTTCTCCTGGCCAACCAGAGCAACTACACCATGGAGGGGATCGAGAAAGCCCTGCGGACAAGCTTCTACGACCTTCATGAGAAAGAACGTCAACGAGATCAATCTGGGTTGTCGAAGAGCTGGGGCCGCAAAGGCGCTGGCCGTGGCATGCGCTCCTATGCTGCCGCAACTTCGGATGACACATCGTCATGGGCTGCCATTTCCGAGGAAGTGGATGAGGACGCCTTTGAAGAGATTGCGACAGAGGAGGCCTATGCCGTGGAGAGCAATGCTGATGGCGCGCTGGAGACTGAGAATGCAGAGGTTTCTGGCTATGGTGCATCCGAGGATGACGAGATCTTCCAGGCCTACTCCACCTACAAGGACAGCCGCAAGAAGCTCAAGGACATTCAGAAGTCCAGAGGCTACTTCAAGAACGATGGCAAGTACCAGAACAATGCTGCTCGAGATCAGGCCAAGCAGGCCGAGAAAGCCAGAAGCCGATGCGCTGCTTGTCATCGGTTGGGTCATTGGGCTGGTGATGCAGAATGTCCAGCCGCAACACGGAGTGGACCCAAGAAGGTTTTCAAGGGTGGCAAGAACAAAGGATCTGGGAAAGGCCGTGCTGGCAAGGCCTACATGGTGGGTGAGTCGCCAACCTTTTTCAGCTTGGGCGATGACCTGGAGGAGGAAGAGGCCTACTGCGACATGGTCTTCGACGATGGGGATAGCAACATCAATGACATGCAGCAGGACTCTGGATTCACAGAGACAGACCTTCGGCGCAAGACCAATCAGACTGGTCGCACCACTGAGTCAGGCACTTCTGGCTCAACTCCATGGGTGAACCCTGAGGAATCGCCAATGGTTCCCATTCCAGTTCAGGACTTGCGGGTCTACTATGTCAATGACTTGGAAGATGCCTGCCCCAAGTACCTGAAGGAGGACAAGCTGACGCTTAGAGAGCTTCAAGCTTTGTGCGACAAGTGGGAGGTCAAGGTCTCTGGAACCAAGGAGGAAGTGAGAGATCGTTTGGTCCGCTTCTTTGCTGGCCAAGCCGTCGTGCAGAAGGGTTACTCCAAGCTCTACGTGCAACTGCGGGAGAGGGAGCTACCAAGTTCCCGGGATATGCCTTTGGCGCCTCGTCCCAACTACAAAGCGCCACCAACAGCCTTGGCAAAGGCAAAGGCAAAGGCATCAACATCGACCGCATCCTCTACACCAACTTCTGGTCGTGGATATGCAGCTGGAGCCAAAGATCGAGGCAAAGCAGTTACTGAGATGATGATGGGAAATGAGGACTGCCGTTTCTTTCGGCCCACTGCAGAGCACTTGGAGGAGACACCCAAGAAGGATCCAAAGACTGGCATTGCAGTTCCCGACGAGCTCGAGGTTGGAAAGCCACATGCCGCAATTGTTTGCGCTTTCTGTGGCCGCCCTATGGTGCTTCGTCGTCACTGGTCGGACTCAAGCCTTTACTTTGAATGCTCCGATCCGAACTGCAAGCACTTCACCGACTACAAGGATGGACTCGAGATGCTGCGGGCCTCAAAGCCTGCCAAGTCCGAGAAGTGATCTGGAAGCAGCGACAGTTTCACCCCAAAACCAAGGTCAAGCTATGATGGTTGGGGATGCACGGCAGAATTCAAGCCTTTGGGAGCCCAATAGAACTGAGAGCCACGATGAATTCAACAGTTTTGGTTTTGTTTTCGGTGGCAACGATACCACCGAGGGAGGTCACCATTTTGGCCCTTCCGACAATGTGATCGATGAGTCTCAAGTTTGCCTCATTGATACCGCATGCACCTCATGCATGCACTCCAAAGCCTGGAGGGAAGCCTTTCAGAAGACGCTTCCTGATGGTGTCAGCTGCTCTTTGACGCCAGCCAAGAAGATTTTCCACTTCGCCAACGGCCAGAGCACTCAAGATCGCTTGCCGGTATGGCGGATCCCAATCTATTTGGATGGTTTCAAAGGTGAGGTTTTCTCAGCTGAAGTCCCAGAAGGGAACACACCACTCCTTTTGTCCATTGCAGCCATGACAGCCCTTGACATGGTGATTTGTTTGAAAGAGCAGGAGGTCGCCGTCAAGAAGCTGGGCATCACCATGCCGCTGCGGAGGACGAGAACCAGACATCTTGCTTTGAATGTCGCCTTCAACCCTAAGATTGGAGAGCGCGATGTTGGACAGATAGGTCAACATGGACCACGGGCAACATCAGAGCAAGAAGATCTTTTGGTTTACTTTGTGGAGGAGGCTCGTTTTGGATTGCTTCAACATCAATTTCTTGGAAGTTTGGATGAACCAGAGTTCAGCAACAAGGTGTTGAGCAAGCAGCCCAACATGGACGAGCGTGGTGTGAAAGCGGAGGACAAGAAACACCAAGTTTCCGAGCGCAGATGCAAGGAGCTGAATGAGGCTCGGAAGCGGATCAGGGTGGAGGATCGAAGGACATGGGCCGCCTTGAAGCGGGAGTACACCATGGCTGAGCAGTTGGCCACCAATGACTTCAAGTGGACAGTGTTGTTTGAGCCCTTTGCTGGCAGTTTCGCCACGACGAGGGTAGCTTCAGCCGAGTTTGGTTGGACATGCTCACAGCCGCTGGATCTTTTGGATGGCTATGACTTGCTGTCGAAGTCGGGGATCCAAATGCTTTGGGATGTTTTGCGGCAACACCGTCCTGTGCTCATTCTCATTGCCTTTGACTGCCGCATCTGGAGCCTTTTGACCAACTGCAATCCTGGTACTGACTGGGAACTTCTCAGAAGCACTTTGGGAAAGAAAACTCTGGACCTGATTGCCCAACTTTGCATATGGCAAGATCAACATGGGGCATACTACTTGCTGGAGAATCCCGCTGGTTCTTTGGCTTGGGTCTATGAGGGCATTTTGGCCCGACTACTGGTGGAAGCACATGGAAAGTATGCCACCGGTGACCAATGTTGCTTTGGGAAGAAAGATGCCGACACTGGAAAGCCTGTGCGGAAGGCGACGGGATGGCTTTGCAACAGCGAGCACATCTTGAACCGGATCGCCAAGAGGTGTCGGTGCCCTTTTGGAAGCCATCAGAACGTGGTTGGCAGCAACAGTTTGGGGCTCAGATCGAAGCAGGCGGCCATGTACCCTAGAGCTTTGTGCCGGGCGATTTGCCAGGGACTTCTGGACACTATGGTCTTTGACTACAGCTGGAAGGTCCCAAACTTTGAGGCCGCGTTTCCAACGTTTGAGGAGCAGTCAGAGGAGGTGTCATCTGGCTATGAACCAAGCATCACCGAAGAGGATGAGACCACAGACCAATGGTTCATCGATGACGATGGTGCTTTGGTGAGGTCCCACGTTGTACCTCGCAACAAACTCTTTGTGCCTCGTCAGGCTGATCCCAACTTGCCAGTGGAGTACAGCAGCATCATGCCGATACGGCACACCATTCTCCAACACCAAGATGGAACAGTGCAGAACCACACCGATGACTGGACCATCAAACAGGAGGAGGTGACCAACCTTTACTGGACGGGTCAGACAAGGTTCACTTTGGACCACACAACTGTGATGGATGAACAGCAGCTTGTGGAAGCTGATGGCCCTGAAGGTGATGCTGCAGAACCTGGAAAGCAACCAAAGCCGAAAGCAGCTGGCAAGAAGCCTGACAAGACCCTGCGGAGACGCAGAGTTCGCACACGACAGCTTCAAAGAGGTTTCTGGCGAGAAGAGCGTGAAGAAGAACCTTTTTCACTACTGCAAGAGACTCTGGAGCAAGTGACAGAGGTTGGTGGAAAAGATTGGCATCGCCTGGATGACCAGTCACCGCTCTTTGAACAGTGGCGCAACCTTGAGAGCGCCAATGCTGAGGTCAGTTTGATTTTGGCATCAACAACAGCCAGACGCTTGAAGAAACCACAGCCTTTTCTTGGTGCAGCTGAAGCTCCTATGCAGAAGTCCTACATCCTCTTGAAGGACTCCTTTCTGAGCACCGACTGGGAGCAGTGGACACAAATGTCACCAGCTTCACAGATTCGACCTCTGATAGCACGAGACCGGAAGCTCTATATCGCCATCTTTGGCAAGGAGCTTGGAGCACAAGTTCAACGTGGTGATGAAGAGGACGATAGATGGAAAAGACTGGAGGAAGACAGGGAGCGCAAATGGCAAGCACTTCCGAGAGAGCTCAAGCTTGCAGTGAAGCGCATCCATGTCAACCTTGGACATGCCAACATACCCACCATGCTGAGAGCCTTGAGAGTTTCGAAGGCAAGTGAAGCAGCCCTTCGAGCAGTGCGCCTGTTTCGGTGCATGGATTGCCCTCGCATCCAAAACCCAAAGGAGCCGAGGCCAAGCAAAATGCCCATCACCGATGAGTTCAATGTGCAGATTGGCTTGGACATCATCCATGAGAATGACAGCTCCGGACAGCCTTGGTCCTGGCTGAACATTTTCTGCCAAGGGACGCAATTTCAGGTTTGCGTGCTTTTGGATAGTGCTGGTCAACCAACTGGTCAGCAGGTGGTGGAGGCTTTTGGTTTGGGATGGACAAACTGGGCTGGTTTTCCTGAGCGCGGCGTGGTGGCAGACAGGGCGAAACCGTTTCTTGCAGCCTTGTCAGATGAGGTTGCAGATCATGGTTGCACTTTTGGCTCAGCAGCCAAAGCTTCCCCATGGCAGATCGGTCAGATCGAAAGGCATGGAGGTTTGTGGAAAGAAACTTTCAGAAGAGTTGTTTGGGCGCATCAAGTTTCTGGACGGCAAGATGTCATTATGACGACAGCCGCAGTGAACCAGGCCAAGAACTCACTGGTTCGAAAAGGTGGTTTCAGCCCCGCTCAATGGGTGCTGGGACGTGACGTCCGTTTGCCAGCCAGTTTGGCTGATGACCAAGAGGTCATGAGAGTTGGTGCCCAAGCCCTTGCAGCTACTCCAAGCAGCCTTTTCTACCGCAAGACTCAGCTCAGAATGGCAGCCAGAGAAGCCTTCTCTCGCAGTGCCACAAGTGAAGCCTTGAGAAGAGCAGAGCTGAGGCAGATCAGACCAAGCCGTGGACCTTTTCTCCCTGGCATGTACGTTTTCTACTACGATGCTCAAGACAGGGACCCAAGTCCAAACTGCTGGAGAGGCATCGCTCGTGTGATCGGGCGAGAAGGCACTTCAACCATTTGGATTTCTCACAGGGGACTACTTCTTGCAGTCAGCCCTGAACACCTCTCGCGAGCCTACGACCCAGAGGTCGAGCACTGGTCGGTCGTCTCCAAAGAGACAGAACTGATGGACGCCGCACCAGCAGCAGGTGGCACGGGGTTTATTGACTTGAGGAGATCCCCGGTGCCCCCGCTGACCGCTCCCGATGGAGAGGCCGAGGGTGAAAATGATGGTGAGGAAAAGAAACCAGAAGCCTTGGAGGATGCCCCAATGCAGCCAGCAGCAGCCGCCAGAGAGGAAGCTGAGGACTTGAGTTCAAGCTCAACTAGCATGGCTCGAATCAGGTGGGAGTCAGACCGTGAACAGAAGAGGTCTTTGAAGTCGGCCGAGTTCTTCGACCGCATGGCCAAGCAGAGACGGGTCAGCAGAAGCCAACAGCTTGCAGAGCTTTCTCAGGTGCCCAAGCCTGAGGACATACCAATTCCGGAGGAGACTGAGTTTGACCCGGAGGTGCACGACTTCCACCAGTCGCGCCCAACTTCAACGACCATGACACGGCAGCTCAGCCCTTTGGAAGCTGATCCTGAGACAGAAGCCAATGAGAGAGAGGCCAAAAGACTCCGAACCAATGAGCCTGGAGCCAAACGAGCCAACTTTTGCTTTTATGGCGACTGAGGTTCCAAAGTTTTTGGAGGAACAAGCAGTGGCCAGCTATGTGAAGCACTGCGACTTCTACCAGCAGGTTGGAGTTTCGGTGAATGAGTTCGTTTTTGGGATGAAGCGCAATGACTTCAGCCAGAGGTACCATGCGCTTGCAGCAAACCCCAACCAGACAGATCCACCGAAGAAGAAGGGTCGCAAGGAGATCAAGCTCTCCGAACTTCCAGCTCAGCAGCAACGCCTTTTCACTGATCCTGACGGGTCGGATGACCGTGAATGGAAAGCATGGCAGAACAAGCAAGCCTGCGATGTTTTGAGTTTGGATGAAAGCTTGAGGATCCGGCGAGAGAAGCCTGATCTGATAGTGCCGACCAGGTGGGTCCGAACCAACAAACATGATGGTTTGGTGGGCAAGGAATTCCTTGCGAAGTCGAGGTTGGTGGTGCAAGGTTTCAAAGACAAAAGCCTTGGGCAATACAGGCGAGATGCGCCAACGGCATCAGCAGTGGCAGAGGCGATTGTTTTAGCAGTCTGCGCCTACCACCGTTTTGTGCTGTTTGCCAAGGACATCAAGAATGCCTACTTCAGCGGCAAGAACATCACACGTGAGGTCTACCTGGATCCTCCACGTGGTGGTCTTCGTGGACTTCAACAAGGGCAACTTCTCAGAGCCCGGAAAGCCATCTACGGTTTTGCCGAAGCAGCACGTTTGTTTTGGTTAGCCTTGAAGGAGCAGCTGGAGGCTGACGGATGGCAGGAGTCCAAGCTGGAGCCCGCCTTGTTTTACTTAAGGCACCAGGGTCAACTAAAAGGAATCCTCGTGACACATGTGGATGACTTGGAAGGAGGTGTATCTCCGGACTTGCAGCAGTCCGCCTTTGAGAGAGCATCTCAAGCCCTGGAGTTCGCAACCAACCACTTTGGCAGCTTCATCTTCAGAGGCAGAGAGATTCGACAGACCACTGAAGGTCACATCGATGTCTCCATGCGCAACTACTCCTTGAGTTTGAAGAATGTGAAGATTGAGAAAGAGAGGAGGAAGCAGCTGGAGGATGAACTCCGCCCTGAGGAGATGGAACAGCTGAACAGTTCAGCTGGCGAGCTTGGATGGTTAGCACGGCAGTTGCGGTGCGACTTGGCCTATGAGAATGGAGTTGCGCAGCGAAGCAAGAAGGAGCCCATCGTTGCCGATCTCCTGAGGCTGAGGCAGTACATCAGTGCTGCGCGCCGTGGTGCAGACTTCAAGATGCGCTACTGGAATGATGTGGGCCTGAAAGATGCGGTCATCATACACCTGGCCGACTCTGGCCATGCCAATGGAACTCCAGAGCACAACGAGCAGATGAGATACCGCAGTGTGGGGGGATACTTTATCCTTGTAGCCGACAAGGCGATCCTGCAGGGTGAGACCGTGAGGTGCAACATCCTGTGCTACCACTCGGGTCAGACGAAACGAGTGTGTCGCAGCACACTTGCTGCGGAAGCAAGCCATTTAGCCGAAGCAGTTGAGGCTGGTGATTGGATCACCGTCTTGTTGGAGGAGGCCTTAACAGGCGAACTGGACCTTCGGAACTGGGCAGACCTGGTGGAGCGACGCCAAAGGGTCTATGTGACCGATGCCCGGTCAGTCTATGACTATCTCCAGAAGGATGCAACTTCGACATCAACTGACAAGCGGATGGCCATAGAGGGTGCGCTTTTGCGGGAGACCTGCAGAAAGCCTGGTGCACACGTCAAGTGGATCGACGGCCTGCAGAACATAGCGAATGTCCTGACCAAGCACAACGCTGAGAAGGACACCCTTCGAGCATTTCTGAAAGATGGGATGATGAGCCTCCAGCAGACCGAGCAAAACAAACTGCTGAAGGAGAAACAGAGACAAGCCCGTCAGAAGAGAGCTCAGGTGAAAAGGGATGATACAGCTTTGAAGGAGCAGAAGAAACTGGAAAGACGCAAAGCTGTGCTGGCAGAAGTGAAGGATGAGAGCGGTGACAGCTCTACAAGCTCACAGCAAAGAAAAATACAATGAGTGTGAAGGAACCCCTGCATTCAGCCATGACTGCCAGGTTGCTGTGAGCCACCACTACAACTTTATGCCTGCCGGCCCTGACGCTGGTTCAAATGCAGCCGGCCTGAGGATGTCCGGTCCGTCTTCACAGACCGGCTCGACTAGACCTCCGGTCCGCGGGAGAAGCGGGAAACAGCATGCATCATGCAACAGCATGAGCAAGACAGAGAAGCACAGAAGTAACATGGACAAGATCAACAGATCGTCATGCAAGTGTACAGAAACATATACCTTTCTTTTTGTTTCGTGGCATAAAACAGTTGCTCGCTTGCCAGTGCACGCTTCGCATAAATATTTAAATATATATATATATATACATAAATTACATATGTATGTGTGTGTACTGTGTGCATATTTTGCAGGGTATCCACATTTTTTTCACCACGCCTTTCCGTGTCGTTTCCGTTTCCGTTCCCAGGTACCTTTGCACCTTGGTCTTCGCCCTGCAGTGTTTCATCTTCTCCGAATTGGTCGGGGTCCGAAAACGCCAAGCTGCTGAGAAGCGGCTGCCACTCTTCCGTTCCATCCAATGGGCATGGTTCTTTGCCACTCGCCCGGAGGAGGTTGTCGCTGAAGTATAACGTCATTATTGTAGAAGTCATGAATTTGCTCATGTTGTTTTACTTATTTTACTTGATGTCTTTCATATATGTGTTTAGGAGGGCTATTTATTTTTGTTTTTTTCCGCGGCAGGTTTTGTTTTTTTTTGGGGGGTTCCTGGTTTATATGCTTTCCTGCTTCTTTGATTTTCTACTTTTCTGCTTCTTTGCTTTTCTGCTTCTCTGCTTTTCTGCTTCTCTGCGTTTATGCTTTTTGCTTTCCCTGCTCCTTTGCAAGTTTTCTGCTTCTCTGTTTTCCCTGCCTCTCTGCTGTACTTCTGTGCCTTTCTACTTTTGCTATTCTACTGTTTCCTTTCGTCAGTCATGTGTTTTTGCTGCTCTACTTCCTGCTCCTTTGCTTCTTTGCTTCCTGTCTTTACTATCTCGTTGTTTTTCAGTTTCTTTTGCTTTATTTTTTTTCAGTTTGTATCCTAAATGACACCCTAGAGAGACCGTAGGTGAAACCAAAAAAACCCTTAAAAAAACCTGATAAGAAATCCTGAGAAGTAACCCTACATGAAGCCCAAAATGAACCCTAAAGAAACCACAAGTTATATATATAATCATAAAGAAACCATAAATGAAACCCTTAAAACAATTTAAAAGCCGCCCTAAATGACATCCCAAAGAAACCCAAAACAACACTGAACAAAAACACTAAATGAAACCTTCACTGATGCCTTAACTGAAACCCGAAATGATACCCTAAATTGACACCCTAAAGAAGCCCTAAATGACACCGTAAATGACACCCTAAATGAAACCCTAAAGAAGTCCTTAGGGAACCCACAAGAACGTTTAGAAATCGTGAACAGAAATCTCGATAAGAAACCCTGGCATGAAACCCTAAAGAAACCCTAAATGAAAGCCTAAAGAAACCCTAAATGAAACCCTAAATGAAACCCCACATGAAGCCCTAAATGAAACCCTAAATGAAACCTTAAATGAAACCCTAAATGAAACCCTAAATGAAACCTTAAATGAAACCCTAAATGAAACCCTAAAGAAACCCTAAATGAAACCCTAAATGAAACCTTAAATGAAACCCTAAATGAAACCCTAAATGAAACCTTAAATGAAACCCTAAATGAAACCCTAAAGAAACCCTAAATGAAACCCTAAATGAAACCCCACATGAAGCCCTAAATGAAACCCTAAATGAAACCTTAAATGAAACCCTAAATGAAACCCTAAAGAAACCCTAAATGAAACCCTAAATGAAACCCCACATGAAGCCCTAAATGAAACCTTAAATCACACCCCAAATGAAACCCTAAAGAAACCCTAAATGAAGCCCTAAATGAAACCCTAAATGAAACCTTAAATGACACCCTAAATGAAAGCCTAAAGAACCCTCAAGAGACCACATGAACGTTTGAAGTACCAAAGTGTAGCAAATACCATGCAAAATGACAGGTTCGAGTTCCAAACTGTTGCAAATACAAGGGAAATGGTACCAGGAAAGAATGCAAAAAAAAACAAAACGTATTTTACACCCATTTGTTTATGTCAATTTTAGGTATGTTTTTTTCATAGTTGTTCTGGTCATTTTTGTGTATGCCGCAGTATTTGTCTATATTTTAGATATCAAAGTTACTTTCTTCATGTTCTTTTTGTAAAAGCACCTCACATAAAACACACATGTATCATAGGAATGTATGACAGCTGTGCGGCTCAGACGGAAAAGGTGCTGTTAGAGCTGCTTTGCTTAACGGATTTTAGGTTTATCAGTCTACTTGGGATTATAAGATAACCCCTGCTGAAACCTGAAAATACAGGTTATCAGCCGTAGTCTCTAAAGCCATGGACAAGACACATGACGCTACAGGTGGCGGTGCCCTCGTACCCTCGACTGGAACTGTATCTGCATCAACTGGTTCTCAGCAAAGCTTGCCGGCTGGGACAAACCCCACGCCCATGTCGGTTGATGAAGGTTTCTTCACACAGCCTGTGCAAGCCTACTTCCAGTTCGTGCAAAACAACCTTACCTACATCAACGAAGGTAACATTGATGCTTTCAGGCAAGAGGCAGAGGAGAGGCACACACATCTCATGGAACAAAAGGTCCAGCAACTGTACCAAGAGTTTGAGGGAATTTGCCTTAGCGAAATCGCCCATCAACGTGCAGAAGCTGATCGCAGACATGAACACCTAGTGTCAGAGCATTCAATGTCCCAAACGGCAACTGAGCATGAGGTAGCAAAACTGAGACAGGAACTTAGCGACGCAAACGCAAAGCTGAAAAACGCTGCAAATGCAGTTGCACTGGAAGCTGAGCAAAGAGCCAACCAAAAGGTAGCCCATGTTACAGCCCAGTACGAACAAAGGTTTTCTGAACTCAGAGGTAGCCTCGAGGCAGACTGTAAACGAATCGTGGACGAAACAGTAGAGTATGCAAAGAACGGCATGGAAGGTTTCAAGAAGGAGGAACAAGCTGTAATCCAGGAGATTAGAGAGGAATGCAGTAGGCAGGAAAACCAAGCTGCCGAACTCAACTTTCAACTGCAGGGACAAGTGGAGGATTTGATGGAGAAGCTCAACAAGTACAGCGCCCCAGAAATCAAGGTCGACAGAGCCGTCGAAGTTGATGATGCACAAGGCGGGAACAATGTCGATTTGTACTTGACCCCAAAATCAGCGGTCGGTACCAAGGCTGGAGCAGAACCCATGCCAAACACTGGTATGAGCAGCTTAGCCATGGACGCCAAGGAAAGGTTGAGCAACTTGTTCTCAACAACCCCTGCCGGATCAGCAGCCCCTCCAAAACTGCCACCATTGCCAGTTCAAAGACAAAATGATGATGATGCAAATCAAGAACATAGTGTGCCCAGTCCTACAGCAATAGCAAGCGACACCGGCAAGAAAGCTGCTGATGCAGGCTTAGGTCTTTCAGGTCAACAGTTGCTAGATCTCATCACTAGACTGACTTCAAAGGATTCAGATGGTGAAAAGCCCCGAACAAAAGAGGCAGAGACTATCAAACTGAACGACATGCCTGCCCCAGAAGCGTATCGTCACTGGCGTAATCATGTCAGGGATGAAGTCAAGTCGTGCTCCGACAAACCCGATGAGGCTTGGCTTTGGCTCAATGAAGTCTTTGACAGCAAAACTCCTAGGGAAAAGTTGGAGGAAAAGCTGCAGGAACCCGGGAAGTTTATCACACTTGACACCAAATTGTCGGCAGCGTTAACTCGCTCGGCCAAAGGTGATTTAGCAACGAAGATCCATAACTTCAAAGATGAGAAGTCAAAGAAAGGGATCCAAGTTAGAGGTAGGAGAGTCCTTTTGATGTTTGAAGATTACTTCAGGACGTCTGAGGAAGCTGGCAGTCTCTACCGCGTCGAGGACCTACTTGGAGTCGTTCGCACTGGAGAATCTGTGGAGGACCTTAGAAGGTTTCTGAACCGATGGGACGCCACAATTGCCGGCATGGAAACCCCGCCAGATGACTTGGTTCTCAGAGACATCTTACTCAGACAAATCCGAAAATGTCAATTGATGAAGTATGACATTGAAGCGTTTGACAGAGCTCCTGAAAAGTCGGAACAGAAGTCTTATGCATTCTTGTTGAGAAACATTCGTGATCTTTTGGATAGAGAAAGACTCCGTTCAAACAGAAACAGAATCGTTGAAAAGAACAAACAGACCGAAAAGCCTCAGCCCGCTGCACCCGCTCAGGGGGGCAAAGATCGCGGCAAAGGAAAGGGTGATCGAGGTCGATCCCGTGGTCGTAGCCAGAGTGGAAAAGGGGATAAGATATGTTACAAGTTCAGGGATGGCAAGTGCGAAAAGGGTAAAGACTGTCCCTACAAGCATGTCAAGGATTCCTCAAGATCTGGCACTCCCAAAAAGAAAGGTAAGGGCAAAGGCGGTAGCAGAAGTGGTTCCCCCAACAGAAAGTCAAAGGAAGAGATGGCCAAGATCCCATGCACTTACTTCCAACAGGGCAAATGTCGTCGTGGTGACAAGTGTTTTTACAAACATGAAGTTGCAGCTGCACCCACAAAGGATCCAAAACGCACCAATAGCCCTGCACCAAAGAAGAAGGCCAGTGCAAAAGCTGCGCCATGCATTACTCAAAGGTATGCATGCATAGCAAAGGGAAAAGGGTTGCCGAAAGCTACAAAGGCCATGAAAGAACAATGCCATAGAGCTGTTGTGTTTTCATCAAAAGTGGAATACATCAAAGTCCCGGCAACAGGTGAACAGAGAAAGGTAGTGCACAGACCCCGAATCTATGAGAAGACGTTCCCTGATTCAGAGTCAGTGCCAAAACCCGACAAACTCATCGCTCACCGTGCTCAGGTTTCGGCCCGACAGTTGCAGGAACTTGTGAAGCTCTTCGGCAGTGAGACGCAGCCCAAATGCCGATTCCGATGCAATGACCCAGAAGGGGGAGTATCATGCAACCACTGTAGAGCAATGATCGGTCCCAAGAACAAAGTCAGTAACACTCATTTGCCCACTGTTGCTACACCGGCATCAAAAGATGGATGTGTTTGGTTGGTTGACACGGGCAGTGAACAGGATTTGATCAGTGAGGGTATGCTGAAGACCGCAAAGGCGACAAACCGCCGTGTCAGCGATACTCCGATCAGCCTTGCTACAGCAAACGGTTCGACACGAGCGGATGAGGTGGCCGACGTAAAGGTCGATGCCCTACATCAGCCATTTTCACCATACATTCTTGAGGAAACTCCTGCTGTTCTTTCGGTTGGGGTCAGATGTATGGAACAGGGTTACAGTTTTGTGTGGCCAGCTGATGGTAGGCCTTACTTCATTCGTCCGGATATGGGAGTCATCGAGCGCAATGTGGACGGCCGTGTGCCGGTTATTGATAGCTCTTGTCGTGTTTTGAACAGTGGACAGTTCAAGAAAGATTGTGATTTGTTACGTCTTTTTGCAATGGTTGCTGCAAAAGCAGAAGGTGCCGATGAAGAAGGCGT